CATGCTGAATCAGCCCATATTCTATGATTTTGACCAGTTTCAGAAGTAGCAAGCATTAACAATACCAAGTCCCCAAACTATTCTCACAGGAAGCAGTGACAGGATTTAAGACAAAGAATTACCACATTAAATAAAATCATGTCTTAGTATTTTCATTTGGTATTAAATTAACACAGATTATACAAATACATACACTATATACAAATAAAATTTTCAGCCTTAGTTTCTAGGCAACTTCACAGATGCTAAAAAGATTTAAGTTTTTACACCTCAAGACAACTGTTTATAACCTGGGAAAGACCTTCCATTAAATATTTTTAACCTAAAAACACATATTAGCATTAAAATGTTTGAAGATACTAGATGCAACAGCAATGACAAAATATATTACCTATATAATTAAAATAAAAAGTGTATTTTACAAACCAGATAGTTTTAAAATTCCTGTCTTTAAAAGATATATTTTTTAAAAATATTTACCTGAGTCCCTGGTCTGTCTCTCCATAGTCATCGAGATAAGGAGGAGGATAAAAGCAGCCCTTTGTTTTCCCAGCTAAAAATAGCACCTGACATTCTCGTACTCTAGAGACAAACACAGAGAAGATTTTAGGTATTGATTTTTAGGTGAATAGTTTCTCATTTTCATAGACACCGCTTTTCCAATTCTCACCTACTTTCATTCTGTATAATCTGCATGTACAGATTTTTAAAGGTACTTTTATTTTTTAAAACTGAAGATCTTATTCTCTTCCTGTTATAACTCCTCAGTAGCAGTTAAAAAAACAATGTAGTTTTGTGTCATATTATTTGCGGTCTTTGTAAAATACTCGACATAACCACAACAAGAAAATAAAACAATTTCACTTCTCGTTAATCTTTGCCAAAATGAATACAGACATTATCAAGGTATTCACCTTCATTGTTTTGTAATACTTGAGTGGAAATAAACACACAGAGAAAACAAATTCACTTTAAAATGAAATTCAAATTTTGTATGATACCTTATCTTCAAGGCAACAACCTCTGAACCTTACACCAAAGTATAAGGAAGATGAATACACTCTAGTTTTTAAGCAACCCTGTTATTAACAAACCACTGCCTTTACAAACCACCCTACAATCACATTTATAGAACTATTCATTTCACACACCCCATCTAACCTAACGATGTAAGTAGAGGTGTTCAGTTCCTTACCTAAGGAATATGCCCACTCCAGAACCACAAGTGTATGTATGTGCAGTACAGGCTCCAACATCTTCTCCTTCTAATTCAGTTTGACAACAGTAACTCTGAGAGCATAGCATGGTCCCACACACAAGGCACAATGTTGGGGCTCTGCTTTTATCACCACCTGATTTCGGACACCTTTTGTTAAGAAAAAAAAAAAATCCATTTTATCTATTAACTCTAGATGGTAAAAAAGATTCAAAAGTACTTTTGAACATTTATAAAGTTAACAGTTATACAGATCCCTGCAATTTCTATTGCATTGAAATACACGGCGGTTTTGCTGGAAGAGATGACAATCAATACATGCCATTAACTTTATGATTCTACAAACATCTTTCTGAGGGTTCAGGTTAGAGGTTTCCCAGTTCATCAAAAGGAGCAGGTGACTTTAGGGGTCCTCACTATAATTGCATACAACTTACGAGAAATTGGATGCTTGGTTAATGAGGCAGCTGTAGTCGTCCGGAAGGTCTATTAATTTGTTGGATTCTCTTGCATAGCTAGAATAAAGCAATCAAATTAACCACTCATATTTCAATGAATAATACACAGTGATTTCAAACTCAATCATGTTTTCCTGACTCATCTAAACAGTATCTGGAATAATTAAATTTTTAAAGTTTTCCTCTTCTCTGCCATTCACAGAGTAAAATGGCAGCACATAAAAAAGGAACCCCCAATATCTCGTGGCTAGACCACCTCCAGTTTTCTTAGTTATATTTTTTATGAATTTGAGAAAACACACAAGCAGAAAGTCAGAAAAATGCATGTTACATATACGCTTTTAACAAAGCCTCATGATGAGGTCACTACAGGTTTAACTGAATATTTGTTCTGCTCCCTTATCAGTTTGCTTTGTATTTTCCTTCTGTCACTAATATTGAATGGAAAACAGTCTGACACAAGTTCAGAAAACTTGTATCCTGAAAAGAATGAAATATTCACACAATGAAAAGGACCTATTTAATAGCAAATATTTATATCTTTAGAAACAACAGTTAAAAGTTAATTTTTTTGCAGATGCTGTACACTAAATTTTAATAATCTTCAGCTCTAGGAATCATACAAATTAGACTGAAATGTAAATGGAGGTTTGTAACAGAAGCAATGTACAAGTACAAGCTGAGAGAAAAAAAATACTGTCAAGTTAAACTTAATCTTGGGAAGAACAGTTAAGAATCAGCAAAAGGAACACATGCAAAAAAATCCCAACAATCTCACATAACAGGAAATCAATTATGCAATCAGAATACTCTTACTGTATAAGATATTCTGTTAATAGCCTGGTATTTAACAGATGAAGTGATTAATTTTTATTTTTGTCACTTAGTCTTATTGTATGTATGTACAATGTTGAAAGATTGACTTGATGTATTTAGCACAGGAGATTAAAATGCAGGGATATATTTTTAATGACAGCACGGTGAACCTCATACTCATTTATAATTATCTGGATAATTGATAAGCACTATTTTTACCCAACCTTCATAAAGAAAAACCCCCCAAACACTTTTCTACGCCCACTAAGCATTAAATGCTTTCTGAATGCAAAATAATTGCTTAGCAAGTAGAAATGTATGAAAAGCAAATTTTATTTTTAGCAACTGCCTCAGTGATGATTTCACTGAAGAATTGGGATTCTTTACAAAGCTCTTCAATGTCTGGTATTTTTAAACAAAGGTCATATATGTCTTTTAGCAACAGCACACCTTTTGAAGCAGAAGGTACAAATCTACTATAGGAAATATGAGAAGAAATATTATGGCCTCTGATTACTGCAGATCAGTCTAAATAAAACTGTAATATTTAACTTTCCCTTTAAAAATCTACTAATTTAAGCAATATTTCACTTTTCTTACAAAATTAAAAAAAAACTCTTTGCTTGTGCCCTGACATCATTGTAATTCAATAAAGCAGAACTGATACTATGTTATTATAAACACCCTTTAGAAAAAAATATTCGGAGAAAACTGCAACATTAAAGTTTCTCCCCTGTCTCTGCTTAAAATTTCTCCATGTTTACCTGATAGCATGTCTCTTGCCTTCGAGATATCTTTTTACTTCATTGTTACTACACCAACTACAAGAAAGAAAAAAAGGCTTTTAACTTCAATGGATGATACTTTCAAAAAACAAGTAAGCAAAAATTCCAAAGTACATCTATTCAATAATCTCTAAAACCAAAATTATTTCTTTCAAAACGCTTGTTTCACAAATGCTTTTCAAAGTCTACTATTCATTCCCATATATGCACTCCTGGGAGAATACTTATATTACTATCTTGTGCAGAATTCCTTATTATATTTAAACTAAGCATAAAACCATGACTTACCTTTCTATTAATGTGTTCAGAATCTCACTATTTTCTTGAAAAAGGCAAGTGAGGTTGTTTGGCAAGGAAAGATAGCTACATAAGTGTTCAAACTGGTTTGTTCCATTTACTGTAAAAAAAAGTATAATTCTCAGAATTGCATTTTTTTAAATGACATTAACTATGATGAATGAAATACAGCCCTACATGGGACAGCTATTTTTCTTTTTTAAACTGTATTCCCCCACACCCAAAACGTGGTATGAAGTATGAAAGTGTTAGTAAAGGCACCAGACAGCTATATTGGAAAACTGCCAGTAATAAGCAACTTTCCTCAAACTTCCCGTCTAAGCAAGTTTCAAGCCTGGTCATATAAGAACCACAACAGAGAGTTCAATGGTCTTTACAACTCAGTATGTCTTCATTTTAATATCATCCATTAAATGGCTACTTTGTGCTCCTTGTAGTCCGTGACACAAACTGAGGCAGGTGATCAGTGACAGCATACTAGTGAAGTATACCACAGCCTCAGAAATACAGAAATTCCAAATGTCTGTAATGCTGAACTCATCAAAAATATTATATAAGACACAACTGCTACGCTGCCATATTCATGATACTAGTCTATTGGTTTGAGTCGCTAGGCCTCTGCTCTCCCAACTTTCAGGACAAAGAGTGCCAGTACCTCTTCCGTGGCATGGCCTCTTTTGCTCCTGAATGAAGGAGTGAAGAAAATTAAAATGAAAGCTGTGCTCACTTCCCTCTCATGGCTAAGTGATTCCCATTTCGCAACCCCCAATAAAATACTAGAGAAGAGCAATACAGGCCAGCTGTGGGATCAGTGGGTCTTGGGGCCAGGGATTGGGTAGGGAAAGCAAAACACCCAGTGCTACAGCCACCATCAGGACATCCCTTGGTGACGGGGACCTGCGGGGCCATCCAAGCACCTGGGACTTGAGGATTGTAACAAAGTGAAGCAAAGCCGCCTTCTTCCCCCCTCCTTCAACCAACTCTCTAAAGGCCCATGGACCTACTGTCTGGAAGTACAGCTGCACTTTGTACCTCATCTTTAGAGTATCTGTAACAAAGAACTCAAGTGGTCACTACTGGTCCAGACTATGAATTTGAGAAAACTTGTTACTGAAAGTCAAAGTTCAGAAATAGAGGGGTTTTTTGGTTTTTGTGTTTGTTTTTTTTTTTTTTTTTTTTTTTGACCCAAATGCTTAAGAACTGCTACTGTAAAATGAAAATAATATACATTTTAAACACAATTTGTCAAGAAGCTATGTATCAAGGAAACATTCCACAAGTTCTGTAGCTGTTCTCATGTCAGCTCAGCACCACATATACTTTGTTTTAAACATGGGAATCCTGAAGCAGTGTGAACCTACTTAACATTATTGTAAGTAATATCTTCAGATTTACATTCAGTCCCCACATACACAATACGTGAAGGACAGTAGAGTATGTTAGTAACATTGATTATTTGGGGTGTAATGTAACATCAGTGTATTTGGAGATTTTAATTATTAGTGGATGCTGATTCAAATGAAATCAATGCAAGGAAAAGCAGGTCTCATTTGAAAACAGTAATCAATAGATTTGAAGTAATATTTCACTTTTTAACAGGAGAGCCTCAGTTTCTGTTTTAGGTAATCTAGAATGGCATTGGACTTGGTATTAAAAAATACAGTTTTAAAAAGGAAACATTTTTTTTTTTTTTTTTTTTGCTTTTTTCATTATGAAGATATGATTCTGCACTGGTAACAAACCCACATTCATTCAATCAGCTTCTTCAGAAAAGAGAGTACAAATGTAATTTATTTTGTCCATAAACATTTGTGTCTTTTGAAAAGCTGATTCAATACAAAGAAGACAGTACCTTGAATTTCTGGGGGTGCTGGGACTCCGTTTAAGTAATGGAAAAACAAAGCAGAACATCTCAGGAAAGGCATGATTCCAGCTTTTAGATTCCTCCACAGGTGCCAGCCTGAGGAAATTTCTTTCAAGGCACTTGAGAGAACACAATAAAAAAGTTTGCTTTTATTTAATCATTTCAGTCAGAGAGCTATATTTAGTAAGTCTTCAGTCATACTTCATATTAAATTACTGACTACAGTTGAAACAAGCATTATGCAAAGTGTTTATTTCAAAGCTAATTCCAAGAAAAACAACTAAATAGAGAATCATAAAAATGTAACCAACTGGGACAGTAAATTAAGGGAAATTTTACATAGACATTTCAGATCCTAACAAGTTTTCTGTACTCAGACATTACCAATTCCAGATTCTACACATCTGCAAACTAAAAACATTGTTCCAGAGCATAATCTTCATGAGCAGGTATCTTCATGAGCACAGAGGAATTTATAGGAATAGTTACTTGAAAATTGTATCTAGAAGTAGTGGATAACAAACAAGATGCAAGAGTTCCCAAGTTAAAAGCCTCATCTTTGACAGCATTAGTATGTAGAATCTAGTCAGCAGTTAATGTTGAGTCCAGGAGGGAAAAAATATTATAAATTTTATCAAAAGATCTTCCTTTTACCTTCCTGTACACTGGCAAAGAAATTTATACAGTGTAAGCACAGCTACTTCCTCTTCACTGTTAGTGTTTTCTTGATCCATGCCATTCTCTTCTGAAGAAGAACAAAATAAAAAGCAAGTTACTTCATATATACATGTTTACACAGCAAGAATGTAATTTCTCAAGTTTTGAGAAAAAGGCCAAAACTAAGTGAAACATTCCACTGTACTACAATATGATGTACTGGAAAAAAGTTTTCTGCTGCACATCTTATGTTTTAAGTTTATGCTATTGTCAACTCCAGTGAGCTGTTGGTTTACTTCTTCGATTGGTTGGGTTTCTTAATATACTTGCTTGGAGTTTTCATTTTGGCATACTATACCTTATCCAGTTCCTCTTGCCAGAAGATACATCGATTCCTTACTTTGCTAACTGCAACTTATTCATCATGCAATGCCTAAGCCAAGTCTCTGCAATAAACACTTCCAGGCACTGTTACGTTAGCTGGAAAGCTAAGGATTCACGACTAGCTATGCTCCAAAAAACCTCCAGCACTAAGCAATAAGGACGAAAGACTGAACTTTCATGAGTACTATTTATCAATACTTTCTATGGGCTGAAAGAGAGCACCAGCAATTTTATCTTGCAACTGTAAACTGCATACATTTACCAATAGCACCTTAGTGTTTTCCAAGTATACATTTGAGGAATCATTTCAACAGAAGTTGAAAGAAAGTGGCATTACCTGTTGATGAGGTAAGTAAAATTTGTATTATGTGTGCCATAGTGACAAGATGAAACAGGTGAAGATCTCCAGTGCCAAGACTAACCCCTGAAAAATCCTGACAATGTATGGCAGGGGAAGAGAGCACCAAGCTTACCTGTAAAAGAAAACAAGAAGGCTGGTATATTTCTTTTCTTTTTGAATCTTCCCATTTTCTCTGCTCATGCTACAACTACACCCTTTGAAGGCAGCACACCTCATAAGGCTGATTTTGAAGCTAATTAGCCAGCCATTATTTAAGGGAACAATGATTAACTATGAGGAGGTTTTTTGGGTCTGTTTGGGATTTTTTTTTGCTATTTTTTGTTTGTGGTTTGTTGGGGGGTTGTTTTTGGGGTTTTGTTTTGTTTTTTAACATCCAAAGAGTATACATTCCACCTCATTTTACCGCTTTTTTATTTATAGATAAGAATACGTGAAATGAAAAAAGTCTTTAAATTGTATTAAGTAGTGAAAAAATACTAAAAACCTGAACATTTTGAGAGGTTCCTAACCCAGAGTAAACAGAAAGTTTCCAATGAAGTTTTGACATAGTGCCTACTGGATCAAAACGTTATTAATATGTATTATGGAATACTTACCAATAAATGAAACATGTCGATATCAAGTATGCAAGGAAGATTTCCACTTTTTTCATTAGGCACCAGTGCTGAGTATTTTAGAGAGAAAAACAAATTTATTAATTGAACATTTATATATGAAAAGATTTTAGTGTATTTCAGTTACAAGATGAGAGCCATCTCCTTGGTTTATATACTTAAAAGTACTTAAAATACAAATGTACATGTTTTGGGTGGAAAAGTGTGAATTCAAGAGTTGTTTAACATTATTGGAAAAGACACTTGCCTACTTGACTATACTGTATTGAAATGAAACACACCCAAAGTAACTGTAACAAAGTACCTGCTGGCCATTCACTACTGCCGCAGTGACCTTCTATTTGTTAGGTTTCCAGTGGGAGAAATAAGCTCAAACACCAGTGACTAAACAGAAACACTGATTGTTGTCTGTTGGACAGCTGTTGAAAGGAAACTTTCACAATCCACTTAACTTTACAAGGTTCCCTAAATTTGCCTCATCCAACTCATTTGCCTTACGGCCTCAAAATGCATTGCTAAAGAGTGTCTTAAATTCATTATTTTATCTCTGATTAAGAAAGAGCTAGGTATTGGTCTCTCCACCTCTGTAGTATCCACATTCACAGTAACCACAAAAGTAGTAACCAAAGCACTCCTGCTGACAACAGAAATTCACACACTTAATAAATCCCAAGTAATAGAGTAAACTCCATCTAAAACCAAACAAATAAAGTGTCTTGAAAACGTTACAATGTATTTAAAACAACAATCAAGGAACAGTTGCAAACTTCTTTACATCAAGCAGTAAAATCTAACTTACAATAAAAGAGTTTAAACTGCAGCTATGAGAATAGTTTTACAATGTAGCCATAAGCATTAAGCTGCCAAGTTTAAAAACACTACTAAAGTGAAAAATAGCTCATCATAACAACTTAAAAATACTTCAGTTGAAGACTGCTGCCTTGCTGGCCAGAAAATTAACAGCTGAAGATCTGTGACATTTTGAAGCTATTTCTATTAGCAAACATTTCACCACCACTCAGATTTCAAATGCTTTTACTTTTGTAAGCATATAGCCACACAACTCAACCCAAGAGTCTTAAAAATGCTTCCATCAAAAATGTGACCAGAGCGAGGGACTTCCAAAACCAAACTTTTATTCGATGTTATCTTTATATATAAATAGTTCATAGAATACTGACAGATCAAAGGCTAATAATTTCCTTAGTCCTAGCCTTGAAAAATAAAATAACCAACACTTTTCCTTCATAAAAATAAAAGCAATACAGTTGCTTCTGTCAGCTGGAGGGAAGACGAGCTTTGAAGAAACACAGGTTCAATTTCAAGAAAACCCAAACCATGCAGATCATCATATACTACAAAGTTCCAGCCAAAACATCTAGCAACATTTTCTCTTCTGCTTCACATAGAAAATGGCTCAGTCATTACTGCTACAAACTGATGTCAATTAAATTCTTCCCCATAAAGCTGCCAACTGTTTGCTGAAGTAGGTGGTATCAATTCTACTAGTAATTTCAGTATATGAATACATTTTAAAAGTATCCCTGCTCTACTGACTGTAAACATTAAAATGACCCCATTTTATAATACCCTTTCAGAATAGTCCTCTCATGTAATTATTGCATTAGGCTGAACTTCAGTCTTTTCACCTGTATCTGCAAATGCTTCAACCTTGGAACATTCTGGCTGTTCTCATTAAAGTTCTCAACTAATATATGACATTACATAATAAGTCCTGTCTTATCACAGATCCTACTTCTCAAATGCACAGAAGTTGGCAGATGCATTACAGACCTCTGCAAATATCCTATTTCCTTTCAATACTACATTTATCTTTATTTCCTCCTCTTTAAAGTTCCAGCGTATCACTTTTCTTTTGTGAAGGCCCATGCTTCCTTCTCCTATGCTCTAGCTACCTTTCTAAAAGCAGCAATATAAATGCTGGGAAGAATCAACAGAACTCCTTCACAGCATGCTTCTCTTGAAATGTATCTTGGAACCGCAGACCAAAAGAAATGTCTTTTTTCCCCACGGTATGATGAAATATGTATAGCTACACATGTGAAAATATCAGCTCTTGGTCTATTACTTAAAACCACTATACAAAACAATCTTGTAGTCAAGACTAACAATCATTCTGTAAGCACCCTTCTATATCTGTATCTTTGTAAAAAACAGAATAAGGTGGTAAACTTACATGCTAAGAGAGTACAAAAGTGACCCTGTACTGCCGAAAGAGATGAAACTGTCCAGTGAGCTGCTGCAAATCTTGTTAATGATGTAAGGCAGTCATCCTTTAAAAACAAAGAAGAAGAGACACCGCCACAGTTAACGAAGTTCCTCAACATGAAAAGGTCTTTTAACTTACAGCATTCTTTTCAGGCCCCTCAGCTGCAGTTTATGGGAGCAGTTGCAGTGTCTAAGCACATGACAAAGATATTTATGTTTATGCAAATATACAAGTTCCCTTCAGTATTCTTATTTTGACTGTTACCATGAGAAACCCTAGCCTTACTAAGCTATGCATTTATAGAAAAAAAACATAATAGTTTTGCTAGAGTTGAGTTTTACATAGATTAATAATCAGATACTGATTGACTAAACAGTAGGATCCAACAAATAAAACTACCAAATAACCATAACTTAAAATTTAGGTATTTTGCATTAAAGAAGCACAATTCCCTCTTTTTCCACTGATTCAGAGAGGAATTGCTACTTGATCCTTACCTGTCGACAAGGCAAATGACCAAATAATGGTTTATCTTCATCAGCTAAAATTCGTTCTGGAAAAAAAACAAAACCCCAAAATATTTCAATGCTCTGAATTTAACTAAATTCTGAAATTCACATATAAAGGAGGAAAATGAATAAATTAGTACCTATAGCCTGTATCGTGTAAGCACAGCTTCCCCAGCACATTATAGGTACACGCGGATCTTCTTCATTTGGATGAACCTTCAAGCCTACTTTGTATGTTGCCGTACCAAAAGTTGTCAACATTTCTTTTATGCTGTCAGAATAAGGATTCCTGAAACAAAGAAAACAGTATTACTAATTCATTTTTTCTCCACCAGCAGTATAGTACTTTTAATGATGAGCATTCACCACATAGCTAAACACCTGGATTTTTAAAATTTAAGTGAGAACTCCAGTGTCTGTCTTTGGATCTGGTGTTCTGTAACGTCTTTTCTGTGAAAGATACATTCCCAATTATTTTTTGATTATTTGATTGGAGCCAATCTCATTTTTTAGCATTAAGAATATCCAGTCTTCAAAGATAATATAGTTAAGACTAAATTAAAAGAACTGCATATGACTGATGGCAAAATCTGTCATCAGCTGGGATAGGTGTCTTGCATTTTTGTGTGCAGCTGGCAGATAAATGTCTGTACCATGTAATGAATTTCATTACTTTCTCCCCAGGTGAAGAGGGGGTAGACTCAAATACAAACATACCATAGGAGCTGAAATTACATATTAACATACTCTCCATTTCATAGTCTTTCTTGATGTTTTACTTGTAGTGCTGAGCTATAATGATGAGTCCTTCATCCAGTTACAAGTAATGGGGAAAGACAGCTTAATCCTGACATTCAAATTTATACAACAGCAGCGTCTTCTCTGCACATCCACGCATCACATCCGCCTCTGAAATTCTACTGCATTATTTACTACTTGTGGGTTGGACTTCAATACCATCATAATAATAGGATCAACTTTTCTAATGAAGGCAAAACTCATATTTTTGCCTTAATTAGTGAGACCTTATAGCACAGAAGTCACATTCTATTTTCATGTTACCATGTCATGATGAAGTTTTAATGATTTATTAAGATGTAAATACATACTTCGGCTTGAAATCTGGTCTAAATCCTTCAGGCAATTGCAGCTGATGCATTTTTTCTGAATTACCAGAATTGCCTGTACAAACAAGAAATAATAAAACACCAGTAATTCACATATACATAATTTTTGCATTATAAAAAGGTGCAGGAGCACATCACCAGAAACTGAAATTCCAAGCTTCTCTTGCCACTTTTGCCACCATCTCTCAATGCCACTGTGGCAGAACCATAATACTTCGTCTTTTTCCTGAACTGGGTGGTTTAGTCTGGAGAAGAGGAGGCTGAGGGGAGACCTTATTGCTTTCTACAACTACCTGAACGGGGGTTGTAGCGAGGTGGGGGTTGGTCTCTTCTCCCTAGTAAGAAGTGATAGGACGAGAGGAAATGGCCTCAAGCTGCGCCAGGGGAAGTTTAGGTTGGATATGAGGAAAAACTTCTTCACCAAAAGGGTGGTCAGGCATTGGAACAGGCTGCCCAGGGAAGTGGTTGAGTTCCCATCTCTGGAGGTATTTAAAAGATGGGTAAGACGTGGCACTTAGGGACAGGGTTTAGTGGTGGACTTGGCAGTGCTAGGTTAATGGTTGGACTTGATGATCTTAAGGGTCTTTTCCAACCTAAATGATTCTGATTTTCACATACAAATATACACGTTTCTTCAGACTTACTTGCAGAATCTTCGTCTCGAAGTAAATACAGTGCTTTTATCTGCTGAGATATTGTTTTGACCCACTGAGCTAGGTTTGGTTGGTCTGAAAAGTCTAACCTGTCCAAAAATATACATAAACAGAATACACACATCAGTTAAGAACAAACTATATACAGAATTAGTATTTCATAGGCATTCCATGTTGTTCTGTTTCTCAACAGGCTCCTTCTCTGTTGCCCACATATTTCTCTATCTTCAGTTCTTTTCCTGCAGGTCCTTCACTGTCGTTTCATGCTCTAAATTCTATACTATATGATAACCAAGGAAGGTCCATAAACCAAAATAGGCAAGCAATCCATTTGAGATTATCAAAACAGAGGATAATAAACATTTTGAAAGGGGTTTTCAGGGTGTGGCTTATTTGGGATTTTGTTTTTACATTTATCAAGGACATTTATAAAGCAAACAGACCTGTTAAACAAAACTCTTGATGGAGGAAGCAGAGGAATAACGGTGTTGCTTAAACATTCACAAAGCGGGCAAAGGAATTCACCATTTTCTACATCGTAACTTGTGTGTACTCGTAATCTTTGTTGTCTTCGTTGCTCTTTCGCTTGGACAGCATCAAAATACCTTTAGAAAAGGGCGAGATATTAATGACAAATTATTAAAACATTACTTTAACATATAAATTAATGAATTCTCATGAATACACTGTTTTGCCTTTTCCCAGATATATGTAAGAGTATTATCTGAAGGAAAAAGTTCTACCCTCTGACTGATGAAGTATTACTAACTGCAGGCTATCCCCATTTTTCTTCAGCCAAAATACCCCAAAATGCTGAAGTTCATGGAGCTGTCAAAATCACATTTAAGTCTGAACTTTAGCAATTTCCATCTAGGAAAAAAAAGCTGAGGGGGAAAGGTAGAGAGAATATTGAAGGATTAAAAAAAAAATTCTTCAGTTTTACATAAAATTTTAAGGGAGGTGCCATGAGCATTATCCATGTGCATATTCCATTACAGGCCACAATAGAGCAGCCACTGGAAAAACTGGTGGCTGATCTCTGAATCCTATATGATAAGGAACTGAATTCACTGTGTTGCTAAACATAACTGCTACACCAGAAACGTCTGGGATGTTTTAGAGAGTGCCCGATGACCCAAAAATGGTCTGAATACAGGCATCTAAGGACATTTCCAGGAGTTAATGGCAACCACACAGGACTGTACATGAGCTACACAAGAAGATGAAGAACACATCTTCAGCGAGCAGTGATATCAAAGACCACAAATGAAACCTGCACGAGGATCATTGTGTGACTATGGCCACAGAATCTCTGGGAGCTTCTAACAGCCTTCACACACAAGGCAGAATCTGGAACCAGGCACTTCAGGAGCCATGCCAAGGACCAAAGCAACGGCCTAATCAAAGTCAGAGGCTTGAATTGTTTGCATGCGTCACACCATTGGCACCACATAGCACTAAGCACATTTATCCCCCTCCAAAAATCAAAGAATAAAAATAACTGAAAAATGTTTTACAAAAAAAACTAAGAACAAGGGATAAAATTGAGTTTATGTTGAAGATGAACTCAAAGTAGGTCGCAGATGTTTCTACTTCAAGTTTACGTGATGGAAGAATTAAGAGTGCAAGGAATGCACCGTCATTTAAGACTTCAGTAGAGAGCACAATGTAAAAAAAAAAAAAAAAAAAAATCTGAGCTTCAGTGTTCAGATATATGTGCACCACAGAGGATTATGCATAGGGATAAACAACCAAAGGGAAATGAAAGCTGCCATGTGTGGCTTTGGATTCTTCTTTACCAAGACGACAGAGAGTAAATGAAAATTATTTTGAACATGCTTCCAGTAGTTACTATAATGATTTCTACCTTTTGTTCCCCCAACAGAAAGCTGTTTTAATCGCTTCATGACATTCCTTTTTAAGTTTACTACATGGTAGTATTTTTGCCATTAAAATTATTGCCATTAGGCAAACTGATGGCATGACATGTTATTTGGACTAAAAACTTAAATATAGCTTTTTACCTTTGCCAACAATGAGCGTGCATAATATGTCCACAGCTACCCGTGTGTGTTCCACATGACAGATCTGGGTGCATGAATAATGGGTCATACTTTTCTGTATTTAAAATAAAACAAAACAACTTTTAAATAAACATTTATCAAAAGACTTAACTGCAGATAAATGTTACCACATTTGTGGTGTTATTAAACTCTATCACAAAAGTATAACTCATTTGATGAAGCATAAAACATATTGCTAATCCACAACAGCTTAAACTGTTTAGATCATTTACAAGTATCATGTAATTTTGTTTTGAGTGTATATACTGTACGTAGACTTCAAACCAAGCTTTCAGAGGTGCTGGGCCCCGGTAAAAGTCCCGAAGATCTGCCTGCAGCTTTGGTGGTTCAGTACCATTAAACAATGAGTCTAAGAACATTAATCTTCAGAGTGAGAGTGCAAAATGATTCAGTGCAGAAATTTTCTATGTGTTTACCTACACAGAATCCAGAGAAACCTTTGTAGCAATGCCACTGATCATTGTGATCTGTTTCACAAAGTTACCTAAATCCAAGCATGTTTTATTATCGCTAAGAGGCATTTCAGGTCATATAACTTAGAGGAAGGAAATGAGTATCTTGTGCTTTTACAGCACTACATCAACACCTCCTCTCTCTATAATGTTGCGGGCATAGGTTAAGAACAAACACTTCTGATTTTAAAGAGTTTTTAATATTTACAAATAATTTGTCATCAATGGCTGGCAGAACATTTAGATAATGCTTTGCAGAGATTTTACATTATTTAGAGCACACATTTCTACCTCACGAAAAATATGGGAGTTTTGCCGCTGACTACAATGAAGTCTTTCACAGTTAACAAAAAAAAGTGATGCTACTGTCTCAAAAGAAAGCATGCAGTTGTTACAGTGACTCCAACATTCATTAATATTAAAGACAACTATGAAATTTACTTACCAGGGTCTGGAATAATTTTGTTTCTATTTTTAGACAACACAGTTGATCGCTGAATAAATGCTGCCAAGACCATAGCCCTGCTGTCCACTTTAACTTCTTGCTCCTCCTGACACAATATACACATAACAACCTGTCTGTGTTCAGCTACTCTAGTTTGCTCTGGTCCCAAGGCTGTGAGTTTTGCGTCTGAAATTACAGGGCTAGAATATTCAAAGAACACCAGTGAGCAAATTATTTGAAAAACATTACAAATCAGATCATGATTTAAGTGTGATTAATGAGCTTTCTAGCTTGATGATAAAAGCTCTCCGACAAAAAATAGTTTTGGCATTTATACAACAATTCCTATGTCCGCAGAAATAGAACACGTTTCACAGGAAAAATTCATGCTGTCCCATTAGTATTACCCACTCCAGTTTAACAGAGAAACCATATCTGCGACTCTCCATCATCACCATCCCTTAAGTGCCTGACATAAATTCTGAAAATGCTCTCCCCCACAAAATCATTCGCATGCTTCAATTTGTATTTCCAGCTACAAGCAGATTTTCTTCCAGATCCTCAACAGACACATAATTAGCTTTTTCCAATTTACTACGGTTAATAGCATAGTCTCTTCCATATTATTAACAATTTACTGGATGATTTTATACAAAAAAATTATTTGTCTATGTTGAGCACTAAGAGGATGGGACGAGAGAGGAATCAATATTTATCCTATCATCTTGACAGAAAGGGGGAGGAAAGCATTCCAATTACTGCTGCTTTTTTGGTCTCAAAAAAACTTATGAATAGTTTTCCATCAAGACTAAAAAAAAGCACTTCTTTAAGCAGTACCAACAGTGCAATCTGATGTAAAAGTTAAAGGGAAAAAAATTAAATTATATTCCTTTACCTATTTGCATGTACTCCGGAAGTCGAAGTATCTAGCTCCTCCAAAGTTTGCTGAAATAGTTCTTTGTTTTCATTAATGAAATGCCGTTGCATCTCAGACATCTGGGCCATGATCTTTTCCCTGCGCAGTCTGGCAATCTCAGCTTTTCGCTTCCTTTCAGCTTTGTCTTTATCACGTGAACTCTGGAATTGTATTGTTCGCTCAGTCATTTTTAAAATCTTGTTACATCGGACAATGTATTTTAGCTACTGCTATGTGTAACGTGTACTAACCTCCAAACAATGAAAATCTCATAAAAAGACAAAAGAAAAGTCTACCAAAAAGTTATTTTGTGCCCTTTTTTGTCAGTTCATGTTCAGTGCAGATCCAGAAGGGTACCTCTCCCCCTCAACCTTTAACTGTATTTTGTATTTCTCTTCCCTTTGAGCACTCATAAGATAAAAAGGTAAGTGAGTGACAGGTCTCATCTCTAGTGCTGCTCTTCCTCCAAACTAGCTGTATTCCTAAATGCACCACAGTGCTCCAAGGTCTTTGTGTAGTACCTCGAATGTCATGTCGAGCTACACCAATCAGCAGAGCTTATCTGGAATGACCTGCACAGTAAAAATACACAGATACCATTTCTTTTAACAACTTTCCAAGGAGTCTGAAATTATGGGAAGAGCAGAATCATTAAATGCTGTGATCAGTACTACAAACAGTTCTAGGGAATAAATTTGCAAAAGATTTGGGGACTACAATATATAAAGCAAAGAAAAATAGTCCAGGGACTCTCCCAATCGGTCTTTCAAACAAATGGGTTTGATCTATAAGCTGTGAGACAGAACTTCAGAAATGACTGATGTTTCCCTTCTTTGATTTAGAGCTGCAATTAGAAATATAGCCTTTTGCTAGTCACAGCCCAGACCTGTTCCAGATCAGCTAACTGTTATAGCTTGCTTTTACCTCCTCCATAATATTTCCCTCTGTCTCGGCCACAGGACTTGTAGAAGAGCTTTCTCTTAGTTTCTTAATAGTATTAAAAGTCTGTAAGAAAAAACACAACAATTTGTTTGTGACGTGAATATAACTGTGTATACTATAATGCTGGCCAGCTAATGCATAATGTTGGATTCCAGAAGAAGAAAAAAGTAGGTACAACAAATCAACATGGGAAATAGGGAAATCATCACAATATAATTAGGAAAGTTTCAAAAATCTTCTTTCTGTGATTTTCAGCAGTTACATAAAATAGATTTACCTTCAATATCCATCTGATCATGTCCTTGTGCACTTCCAGATGAGGTGCATTTTGCAGCGTTTCTAGCATAGCTAGTATACTAGGGGAATTATTGGGTGCCTCTCCTGGTCCTGAGAAAAAAAAAAAATACGACGACAATTGATTATACTGTTACCTGACAAACTAATCATTCACTAACATTAAAAACAACACAAAACAAAAAAACCAACACTCATATGTTCAGCAGCTGAAGAATTCCTTCAACAAATAGGCACAACATGTAACTTTGATTCCCCCCTCCGCAAACATTTTCACAAATACCCTCTAAATCCTGAAAAGTTAGAGGAAATAGTCTTAAAAGTCTTGCTCACTGACTATATTTTTTTACAAGATAAACGCACTTCATGTCCTCACTGGTTGTTTTCATCTTGGGAGCTGCCATGTAGAACTTCCAATAATCTAAATAGAAGAGTCTTAGCAACTTTCATGTCTTAGCAAAACTAGAGGCACTAGTCAGAAGATGCAAAGGAGAGTCAAGATTAAAAGACCATTTAAGACATCAACTGCAGTTTTTGCAATTGTAGCATCTTATCTTATACAGCATGTTGAGATGCTACATAAAGATATTAAGAACCAGATTTACTGGGAATTATTCTACTTCTGGATTTCTGCTCTAGAAAAAGCCTTTAATATTGCTACTATCATAGAATCTACACATACGTAAAGCACATACATATAGGCAACGTAGTAAAATTTTGATGGATAAACAAATACACTCTTCTGCTAAATACTGTTTCAGAAGAATAAAATATGAGCTACTGGCATTTTCAGTTATTTAAAGTTTGCTATACATTTGAAAAGAAAGGCATACTTGATATTTTCTGAGTGAAGGTAAACGTTACAACATTCTCCTCACTGAGATTCTCCAGATGTTGTTTTTCTTCTTGTAGTGCCATTCCAAGCAAATGCAAAACCTAGGTAAAGTAATTCATATAACCTCTTTATATAGTTTGGGTAGTTCATTAAGAGACAAGGAAGTCATACAATAAAATTATATAATAAGAATATATTTTAAGTTATTTCTATATATGTAATTCCAAAGCTACATTACACAGGAGTAACAATGTTCATTTACAAATTCTTGAAACTTTGCCAGATAAAAAACACATTATACCAATTGTATCTTTCTGTTTGCTGTCCTGTGAGCAAGAGGTCAGCACTTCTTAGCTTTCTCCCTAGCAATTGCATGTTATTATCACAAATCTTTGGACAGAAGCATGACGCACACTTTAAATCCTTTTTACGTACAAAATTTAACTGACAAAGTTAAGATTATTAAACTAAATTTATTTTAACACTCTAGAAACACATTTTAAAATAACGTTAACTTTTAGGTCAGTAAAAAGCTGCAATCTCCTTGAATTTAAAAATTGAAATAACCTTATTTGGCACTAATATAGTGAATGGAATTTTAAGCCTGAAATATTTCAGTCTTGGTGGTGAATTCTGTCATGCTGAATCCATCACTTTTGCCACCTCATACAAATTGCCAGGATGCTCTAGATAAAAAGCATTACTGAATGCCTGGAATCAACACTGAAACCCATGTAAGGAAAGGACAATCACCGGAAAAATCTGTAGCAGAACTGGAATGCAACAGTCTAAGATAACTAAAGTATCTATAGAAAAAGTGGTAAACCCTCACTTAAGTCTTAAACATTTTAAAATTTGTTTTAATAAGTCAATTTTTCCTCAGCCTATCACATCTATCTAACCAGGTCTTATGAGGTACAGGCCACCTCTTCCAGATGCCTCATATCAACCTTTACATGGTGTTTCCAAGACGAGAATGGTTAACTTGGGAAAGATGCAGTCCAACTGCATGGCACCAGTGAACACAAAGCACTGTTTCTGAGCAAGTGATAGGTCCCTAATGAATCTCACATTTTGGAGAGCACCACAGAGGTACTCATACAGCTGAGCGTACTTTAGTTCCGTTTCAAAAAAATAAAAATAAAATCTTATTCTACATAGTTATTCCAAAGTCTAGCATTCTCACATTACCTAAACGTAGCTACATTCTTCAACTTTTGTTGTGATTTATAATACTGATATATTGTTCCATTTTCAACTTTTTTTGTGTTATACAGAATTGCTTATGTCAATTTAAACTTAGCTATAAAAGGTAATACACCCTCAGTAAGACTGAATGTCAAAAAAAAAAAAAAATCAATACTCTGTTTCAGAGCTGGGGTTTATATTTCAAAATGTTATCTAAAAATTCACCAATATTTTTTAAAAGTTTGGACACTAAACCAACAGCCCTGACCAATACGAATAGCCCTTTGATGGCAGTTCAGCACTTGTCTCTGCACACCCCACAAAATGACCATCATGGACAACAAAATCTACAGTAACCCTCCAGGTTTCTAAAGATCATTATAAATAGTGAGGAACAAACAGCTCGGTTGAGTTTCCCAAAGCTGATATGTTTTCAAGTCAGAAAATTCTTTTCTGTACTTTTATGACTTTTTCTGAAGTTATTTAACCTGAACTGAAAATAAGCAAAGGAACATCAAGAAAAAGTAAATGTGCTTTACCTAATATGCAACAACTCAGATAAACTGGTTCTCTACCACAATACACACTAGCGATTTCAACTGATTCAAGCAGAATTCTTCCCTCTCATGTGCATCCCATTAGAAATTTACCTCTGCCTTCCATTCACTTTTAAAAATAAATTGCATCAGAGGCAGAGCGGTTTCCCTAGTCTTGTATACCGGAAAACACCATTTGTTTCTCATTCAGAGTATTCTGGATATATTAGATACGAAGTAAACAACCCAAATCTATAAACCCATGTTAAAATGCTAAAATACATATTCCTTCCTTTAGCATAAGCATAATTTTAACATACCCTTTGCAGCATGGACTCCGACCAGGCATAGCCATTGTGTTCTACTGCCCACTGCAGTATAGTTCCCATAATGCACAGCATGACATCAGACTGCAGAATATTAACCAGACTTGCAAAAAGTGGGCAGAAAGGAGGAAGAGCTGGTGGTGGAAGTGCTGAAAGGGAAATTTGTGTGTTTGACATGTCAGCATCCCTAAAATTTGCAATACCCATATAAAATGCCTGAATTTCAAACAGCTTAACAGTAAGCCAGGACAGTATACAGTTGCTTGATAAACAGTATTACAGGGAACAGGTTGTAACATTCAACATGGCTTGCATGTAACAAAAGCCAAAGGAATAAGCCTTTCAGAAGGCTGGTTCCATGATGGATCAGATTCCTGTCTATAACCAGGGAGACATATGGGAAACTGCTACATTTTCACAATTTCTGGCTAGCCCAAGAGCAGGATGTTAGTCTAAGTGTCAGGGCAATACAGTTTGATAGGCTCTTCCCTCTTCTCCCATCTTCTCTCAAAGAGAAATACCTGTATCTTCTCTGTTCTGTCTTTTCAGCTTTCTTTGTGCTTCCTCTGCCTGAAATAGAAGAAAGATGCCAACATTACTCAAAACCTGTACAAATATAAAACTCAAAAAAAAGCATTCATACTTTATTACATTGTTTCTGGTTTTTTCCCCCCTTTTTCCCAGCCTTAAATAAAACAAGAAAGCTTCCATGTCTTTTCAGTTTGTCTTACATTCTACTTGTAAAGTAGTGCCTGCATCTTCAAAATGAATCTTTCAACTTGAGCCAGCCCCTGGATTCTTTTTCTAGCATAAAACTGTAAGACAAGTCTGAGCTAAAATGGTAATTTCCATAAAGGTAAGTGAAAATACAGACTGTTCAAATACTTTCAGTAAAATAAGACCTAACAGAACCCACAGACAAGCTTCTGAAGCCCCACTGATTTCCGCAGCTCCGTATATGGCACAGGATCCCATGGCACAGAAATCACTGCAAAATCTTAGGCAAATTTTGTCAACATTCTCAAATAAGTTAACTTTTAAAAGTTAACTTTTAACCAGCTGATAATACTTCTTCACAGAATAAAGCTTTGGAAAAAAATAAACCAAAAAAGACACAAAATAAAACCCAGAAAGTTAAGTTACTAGTTACCTTTGATTGCTCTGCCCTTGAAAAGTGATAGAAATACAGATTGAAGTTCTTGGCACATTCTGGTTTTAGTTCATAGAGCCCTCTGCCTGTTAATCCAGGTTTCCTACAAAAAATAAATAAATAAATAAAAAACTTATGTTCATGGGTTATTAACATCTGAGCATAAATGGTTAACTAGAACAGCTAAAAAACACTGCTCAATAGGCATTCTAGAAATCAAATAAGTAACAAAATAAAGCTGTAGGAAAACACAATGACCCAGCCCCCTTTCTTCTATTCTCTCATTTTCACCAATTTAGATATTCCATTTGTAAAGCTGACATGTTAAAATAAAGGGAAACATACTTGAAGCAGGCTACTTCTTCAATCACACTTTCCATTCCCGTCTCTCTGTTCTCCTACGTTGAGTGAAAAGGCAAGACAGTGTGTTACTGTAGTGCTTGCATTAAACACATTCAAATATCATACAATACTAGATAAGCATGCAAAAAAAAATGTAGTACAAAGTAATTTTACTGGCTCTCAAGAGAACGCTGAAGCACATAACATGAAAATACATTCAGGAATACCATCTCTGCAAGAAGTATTTTTAAAAAATCATGCCATTTTAAGTGCTTAATTTTTACTGTTTTTCCTTATCATAATCAACTTGGATGTAACAGTAACAGAAGAAAACTCTAAGTTAGCTTACTCAGCCTATCTTAGGAATATACAGTCAGTATTTCTGGTTTCTAGGCCTTTAAAATGAAACAAATATAGCAAAGCTAAAAAGACAAGTCACTGAAAAAAGGTAAAACAACCACAAAATGAAGCAGGAGAAATCAACTCAAATATGTAACACTACTTCATACACAAATTACCTTTTAACATTCCCATCCCCTTCCTGCAATACATATTCACAGCAGTTGAAAGGCCAAGGAAAATGTGTTTAAGACTGACATTACAATTTAGAACTCTAGCTTAAATCCTAGTTTGCTCTTTCACCCAACCCTAAAATATTTTGTAAAAAATTATAATGCTACCCTAAAATTTGATTTTTAAATTGTTTAAGTTTAAAATACTTAGAACAATGAAAAATATTTCAGAGTTTATCATTAAAAATACTACCAATATAGTAAAAGATTAACTTCTGAATTTTGACTGCCTTCAGAAATCGTGTTTAAAAGATTACTTCAAAAATATTCTAAAAAAACCCTTAAGATTTGCTATCCTACAAAACCACTCATACCAGAATTCAGATAAATGCTTCTGTCCGTGCAAATGAAGCATTTATGTTACACAAGTCATTATACTGTGTCTGATTCCATGTCTTTTCAATTATTGTTAGGCTTTAAAATATAACAGCTCATATTTCTGGATAGCTCCGACAACCCACTTCGATATGTCTATTCAGGGTTTACAAGCAGACTGCAGAGACCGCTGGCCAGATGGCCTGATAAGAAACAGTATTAAAAAGAGAAAAAAGCTGAAGAAGCTCTCAGGCTCCTGCCTCTTTCCTATGTTGTTTCTTCTTCTATAGCTCTTTCCTACCTTCTCCATGACAACTATTAATCTGTACTCATGCTAACCTTACTCTTAGCACAATCATGCTGCTCCCATTCCATATTGAGTGGCATAAACTTGCATAACAAAAATTTTCAGCAATCAGCCTTATAAAGTTGAAGTTGCCTTTCTTTTTTCTCCCAAGTTACTTACATCTTCAGGTAATGCCTTTACCAATTCACTGTGAGCCATTGGCCTGATGCTCAACTGATGGATGATCTCTCGTTTGATTTCATCTGTTGCATTTACCTGTCCTATTCCAGGAGTGAATCTTTCACCTGTAAAAATGAAATATAACTTTTTTTTTTTAGGATTCTAAACGTCTGTCTTCTTTTGCAACTTAAAGCAAACGACTGGAAAATAAGTCTCTTCTGTGAAATCTTGTGTTCACCCACCAATGTTCAAAAATTCATTACGTTAATTTAAGCTAGTTTCAAGGCCTTTCTCCTAGGCTTCTCCTAGGAAAGAAGTCAGATCTACAGGAAGTTCAAAATAGAACTGAACTTGAGATGATAATGAAAAATGCTCATTCCAGACCATTAAAGAGACTAAATTTTAAAATTAAGCAAATGTATTTTGAACTTACCAACAATCATTATAATGAGGTATAGCATCTCTTCTATAAGAGTGTTATTTTGTTGAACAACATCCTGAATTAAAACAAACAAAAAAAGAATTTACATTTTTCAATTAAGGGTAAAAAAATTATTCCACATGCTGAAAATATTTTTTGATGCTTCAAAACATTGCCTGTTTTCACCCTTAGCACTCCCAAATTAAGCTATGCTGAAATGCAATCACAACTGCCTTAAACGTCTTAATGCAAAAATTATGCATCAGTTTCTGACATTTACCAGTTTGACAGGTAAAAATATTTATGCATATTTCAAACTGGTCAAACTAAATTAAAATAGAATAGGTTTTGCTTTTTTATCAACAAATTGCACAGTGTTGGTACAACAGCATCTGATACACTTTTGAAAACAAAATTGCAGATTTTCTATTGCAGTAGTACATAAAATACCTTGTTAGTATTCTCTGTGCTAAATCTTTTGCCATAGTCTGGAGTACTAAATATCTGGTAAAGTTCAAAGCGACTCAGCATTATCATCAAGAAGTGATTTGGATCCATCATAGACACACCTGTCTATTAAAGAAAAAAATTATTATAAACAGAAAATAAATTGGGTGTTATTACAGCATGTGTGCGTATTTATATACAATGTTCACAGTACACTCTTTATGAAATCCATTCCTCTTTCTATCCTGGGCATGAAGATTTAATTACTTAAGTTTACTCTCTTAGGACTCCAATAACACAAGTGACAGCACGTTTGAAAAGCAGGATCCTATGTTTTATCAATAATTTCTGATGCCCTTTTAAGTGTAAAATATTCTGGGTTATTCCTTCTATCTCAAATACTCTAAATAAAATTCAATTAAAAGACTTTTGGTTGGTTGGTTTTGTCTTTATAATCCTGTATAATCACTTAGTATACAGCACATAAAGATTTTAAAAACAAATTCCAGTCCTCAAAACTGAAGACTTTAGCAAGATTTCCCAAACCTTCTGGGAAAGAACAGTACTAATGTTTCAATGTAGCCACAAACATTTACTTCCATCTCTGAAAACTACCAGACGAAGTTTCTTCTGTTTATTAAACAATGTATCTAAGTCAGCCAATTATAAATATTTGTTGTTGGCTTACTATTGCTAATGGGACCATCTTTAAGACAGAATAATTTCCAACAAAACTGAAGGATATCTATCCGAATGGGCAGCTGTAGATGATCACTAAAAATAAGAGGCAGATCAAGCCTCAAGGAAATATGTCTGAAAACAGAACTCAGGACATACGCATCATATTCGGTATTGCTAACTCTAGGTAAGATTTGAGGGAATTTTCAAGAAAAGATTTTGCTGTCTAGGTGACCTACGCATGCAGAGCTGCAAATTTTAGCTTTCATCACTCTCAGTGTAGAAGTAATGCATCAGACCTATCTATGTCAAAGCTAAGTAGACTGCCAGATTTGTAAAATCTCTTCTGAAGGAAAAAAGAAAATCACAAACTAGTTCCACTTTCTAGCCAGCATTTTAGATGCCAGCTTTGAAGGGAGGGAGAAGAGGCAACACACATATTGAGTACATTACTGAAGACCTGCAGACTCGCACAACTGCCAGTACGGCACAATCCATTAGTTAAAATATTACTTTCTTGAAGATGTAGCATTACGTATGTGTTACACAGAAACTTCTGCACTTTCCACAGTATATTTAAAAAACGAGGATCACAACAGTATTTCCTTTACAAATTATCCCATAGAGACAGAGATACAATAAAAAAAAAATATATAAGTCCTTCCACAAAAAAATTAATTATTTCCTTGCCATTTAAAGGTTCTGATGGAGCTAAGAACAAAAGCACACATATCCTGAAAATGCTTGATAAAAATGCAAACTGATACATGTGGTTACCTGGAGCATTACTATGTCCTTGTCAAACATCTCCCTCCTGCACTTCACATTATGATAGTAATAAATCTGAAACAAAAAAATCAAACCACAATAATTAACAATCACCATATTTAGTCTAACTTATTTTCATTTTGGAAAAGTAAACTTTGTTATACAGTATTAGTAAAGAAAAAATGAATCCGTGATTTGAAAAAATATACAAATACATTTGTATGCAAAAAGCATTTTTATAAACCACAAAACAAGCACAGTTGCTGGCTGGGGTGTATTGATCTAATGTCTAAATTGCATATACTTAGAAGGAAAAGTATTTTGGACCTCTTTGGGCTACATTTTAATATATCTACTTGTTTAGCCATTAACTGTTTGAAATTCACAGGAGAGAGAGCCTTTGCAGTTGGAGAAATGTTCTCTCTTTGCTGCATGAATTGCTTTGAATTATTTGAGATATAATCTTTCAGGAATTGCCAGTTTCAGCAAAATGTTAATATTGTGACAGAACCATACTTAACCCAAACCATCCTGGGAGTGAACTCAACAGTACTGCACCCAGCAGCAGCAACACCACAATCACTGCATGGCACTGACATGTGGGAAAGGTTGATTCTACCACAATTAAGGGAAAATAAGGAGGGTTATCAAGTTTCTACATAGGATTGGGAACAATCTTCAGCATGCTAAACTTTCCTCTAGAGACATACCATTTCTCACCAGAATTACATGGAAGGGAGCTAGGCATGCCTTCCCTCTCTTCCCCATACTAATAATCCCCATAGATGCCCATTCCTATCTTCTGGGAAAATATCCAAAACGATCTGGCTGAACATGAGCTCTCCATAGCCAAACGGAAGAGAAAGGACTTCCAGACTGTGGGAGCCATATTTCCTAAACTAAACCAGGCTCTTTAACTTCAAGATGCTGACAACCAGGGGAAATTAACACAGAGACTTATTTCTCCATCAGAAGCTATGCTGATATTTCAGATCTGATGTGTATCTACAGTAATATGGGCACTGCTATAACTGTACATAACTAAAGCTCCTTTAGCTTTAATAATAACAATAAAGGACATCACCTTATAAAGATCCTTTAGGTTAAGAGGCAAGAAGTGTCAGAATATAATACGTTTGAGCAGCTTAATTCAGCCTCCTAGTACACATGCACTGCAATTATCTAGTGAAGGTGGGGGCTTGCAGGAGGGAAAGAAGTTTCTTGCAAATAAATCAGGTTAACACCTCACAGAACTAAATCGTATTTCTGTTGTAATCTACGTCTTGCTGAGAAAATCACTTTAGATGATCACCCTGATGGGTGGCACTGACACTACAGTACCTGTTTTATAGTTGTTATGCTTGAAACACCTAAAACCTAATTTGTACAACAGAAAGAACATAAGTTTAGAGATGGATGGAGCTAGTCGTCAGAAGTATCAAAGAACTATGCAAGATAAAACCCAAGAAACACTCAGTTCTAATGCTTCTGTGTGGTCTTCGGATTTCAATTACTTCGTAAACATAAATAGTAACAGTACTTCATAAACAGTAATAGTATCTTAATGGTGCATATTTTTATATTTGAGACACTTTTACGTGAAGGTGATGAATGCATTACCAAAGATGCACAGATCTAATCCTGCACTTCATACTGCTGTTGGACTGTACACAGTAAAAAGGCTAAGAGTCATTAACTGCATTATACTAAAACTTCTTTACGCACAGAGCACTAAGTTCACTGAGCATTGCAGCAGTCCTGAAACAAAAAAGCAACTTCTGACTAAGAAATCAAAGACCAGTTTAAAAACACAAATATTCAAATTACGTGAGTGCTGATATAAATGCCTACCTTGAATTGCCTTCCATAAGATTTACGTAAGCGAAATTTGAAATCAATACAGAAAGAGGAGGTTTTGTGGTCTGAAATTATCTTGGGGGAGTTATCAGAAAACAGTGATTCTACAGCTACTATGTACTTACCTGATTAACAAGAGAGAACCCATTTCTTCTCCACATCCCTGCATGCACTTGGGCACATAGGACTAGGCATCGTAGAGGATGTTCTATTAACATAGGCGGGCTTAGTTCACTCTGCATTAAGAAAATGCAATATTTTTATGTATACAGAGAAAATAAAAGAAAATGGGACTGCAATGAAGGAGGATGATATCTGTGATCATTAAAATATTTTGGGAATACAAAAGAGAAGCAAATCCAACACACACATTACAGAAGTCTGATGACCCTATTCACAATCTATCCAATCGTTACCAACCTTACATTCTGTCTTTGCTCCAGAAGTAGTCCACAAGGGCTTTAGTTTATTCTTAAAGACGGGGGGGTTGTGTTTTAAAACATCAACACTATCAATTTAATAACATTGTAATTTGCTTCCTTTCATTCAAAGGTTAAGTACCTCTTCCAAAAGACACTGAGATTTCTTCTCCCAGTTATGCTTTCTCCTCTTTTAACTTATCTTGTTCTTTTTAAATTTCCCTTAAAGAAACAGCATATCAATAAGACTGTGCAGGAAGCAAGAAACAGCTGGGGAAGAAAATTGGAACCTAGGCCAAGCAGAAGGAATCAGATCCTGCCAGGAGTTCCTAAAACCAGTTTCTACTACAAAAAGAAGGTAATGCATGAAGAACAAAATATTAACCTTAAACCTGAGTCTTAAGTTATTTAAGAGAGTGATTGCTTATGCTCCAGTCATGAATATCTAGGTATTAATCTTTTCAGAGGTAATTTTATCTACTAAAGATAGTCTCTCTGAACAGAGTTCATAGCAAAAAGGTCCTTTTTTTTATTTAATAATATCCTACACTTACATGACCAATTTCATGTTCAGCATTAATTATATTTAATGAATATGCTACATTTAATTACATACCAGGGGCAGCAGCTCTGGAAACTTATATGCCACTTCAGTTTTACTCAGCAAAACATGCAAGCCTACATAAATAGATGAAACAAATACACACATAATATTACACACAATATTTTATATAATTCAAATAGGACAAAAAAGGTCATCTAATTTACTACTGGACCATTTTCTGGACACAGCTACAAGTAAGTCTGCAGATTTATCATCCTGGAGCTACACAGCTATTTCCTGAAGACACATATTACAAAGCATACATTTTAGGAGAATTAAAGTTTTCCCATTGTATGTGTATAAAGCTTGCAGTACAAGTGAGACTATTGCCTTTCTTTTGACTCTGCCATGTCTCCTCAGTGACAGTCAAGAGTCCTTGGTCTATCAGGACAAGTTATCAACAACAGATACCTCATCCTTTCTATCAGTCCTTAGAGGTTTATAAAATACCTCAGGAACTATAATGAGGCCCCTACAAAATACGTAAGAGTTTTCTGGATTACTTTGTTTTAAAGCTACAAGATTCAAACACTCAAAGTTATTAACGCTCAGCTGCATAGTATTTTACCTAAGAATTACCTTTTTCACTTCATTACCCATGAATTTATTTTTATCATGAGACTTTCTGATTCTGTAAACTAAAATTCATCAACCTTTTTGACACAACTGTTGAACAAGATAACTACAATACAAAGACATAGCTTAATTTTCCAGTGACACATCTGTTTGATAAATCTGTTCTCTAACAGAATGTTGATTAGTCTATTCAATCTGACAGCTAAACATATTTCAAAACAGTCAACTACAGTCCATATTCTATTGTGTTTCTTTTGCATCACTCAAGTGGAAAAAGCAGCAGTAACTGCCTACAACACACCCCACTGGCAAATCCAGAGGCATGGGACAATCTCCCCCAGGCCTGAAACGATAACAACTTCTCCAATGCTTGGGAACATTTTGCCTAGAGGCTATCAAAGAGCTAGGAAATAGCCAAAATGCATCCTATTCAGGTTTTAAACAACTGTTGTGTGGTTCCTTATTTACACACAAATACAAATCACTTTTATACAACGTTTTTCATTTCCTGAAATATTTTTAAACTAGTTCATACCTGCAAGTAAACGAGAAACTGGGAGATGAATGCTAACTTTTTCCTGAGAAACACAGTATCTGATGGTCTCAACTGAATGTCCACACATACTGAGAACAATAGGCTGTTCTCCATCAGTAAAGCCACTATGACACTGCATCAACACAGTCAGGCATTTCTTGTAAGCTTCAATTAACACTTTTTCCTAAAAGAAAGATCACAGTTTACAGAGATTATGAAAAAAAAAAAAAAGAGCTCTGCAAAATAATACAGCCAACGTAAAAAAGTCTGACGGGTTTGGGGTTTTTACCTTTATTAACAGTCCTGCAAAATTAAGATAAGGAATCCAACAAAAGGAGCTGAATTAAGGGGGACACAGATTGCGAAACTCATACAGGTATGTCTGATTAGAAAGACACCCACTAGTTGGGTTTGGTTTTTTTTTGGTAACTTATATTATGAGAACTCTCTGAGCAATGATTATGCTAGGCTAGTAAAACCTGCACATTAACTAACAGTGACAGATTAAAGCCAGCTTGAAAGTTCAAATATTCTAGGATCACTTGTTCCACAGCCATATTTTACCATGCTGAAGTTCTGTACTCCTAAAACTTGAAACACTTATGGAGTACAAACCTGATTTATAATCAGGCAGAGCATTTGGTGGATCCAGGGCCTACTCCTCTATTCCCTCTTCTCTGAAAATTATAACCTGATAGTGTTGTGATGATCACAACTTTCAGATGCATGACAGAACTCTCTGCAATATTTTTTAAAAGGCTTAACCACATTCTTATGACTTGGTCAGTTCAAGCCATAAAAGATGTGTCTAAATACAGAAAAGATTTGCACTTGCTCAGAGAAGATAATCTTGGCTAATGGTGCAGTTATGTGTCTTGCTCAATTGTTACACATTTGTTTGGGGTTTTTTTCCCCCCTTCACATATTCCCATGGAAAAACAATTCAGAAGGAACTTACATCTAAAGCACACCAGTCCTGCATCATTGAAATAACAAGTGTTAATTTCATCTGCAATGTAAATGCTGCTTCCCATTCTGGTTCCATTTCTATGTGTTGTCCTACTTGACGAGTTATTGGATCCATACCCTAGAACAAAAAGAATTACATATTTCAACAATATGTAATTGAAATACGTTGACAACATTTGCAAAAGTGTGAGAGAGTGGCTACCTGTCCTTATAAATATATTGTTACTACAACAGGAAAAAAGCAGCTTGGGACCATGTGAAAAGGAATTACACACATCAAAATAATAACGAGAAAATGAAACAGAAATTGGAAGAGAAGAATACAGGAACAAGAAAGGTTTTGGATATGAGCTCTATTTATTATTAACACCTGCAGAGATTTCAGCATTATGAGCAGTACAACAATGTTTGCATACATACATTATCTTACATACACATTTCAGTTTTTAATGTGCTTTCTAAGGATGTACTATTAAATGCAGTTAAGTACTAACTGAAGACTGGGTACTATAGTACCTAATCAGCTTTTGGCATAAGAAAAAAAAACACCATCATCTGAAGATTACAATATACTCAAGAGACTATCATGAGCAGACTAATGAAAGCTAAGTACTGAGAAAGGTATGCTGCTGAGGTACTGAAAAGTAGGAGTGATTCTGACTTATACCTTACTGATCATACAGTCAATTTGCCCTTGTAAAAGCTGCACCACTTTTAAAACACTCAACATAGCACACGAAAAGGCTGGGGAAAAAAAACACAGTTAAGAGGTCTGTCTGTATGTCTATATATTCCTCAATACAAAGAGAAACTCTGCTGACACTTAAGCAGTTACTGGAGCTCTCACTATGAGGGAAAGTTGGTTAAGATGGACCGGATTTTGCTCACACGATTAGTTGTGTCTTGTCTGCCTGTATAGCTACAAAATATGCCCAAAATGACATTTTTCTTTTCGAACCATTCTTCCTTTTTACTGCCCTCTACAACAAACTAAATAAAAAAAGTTAAGTGAGATGTTATGTTTCAGGAAATATGATGACTCCAAAAGTTATACTGCACAGAGGTGAGTACATTACATTTCCTCCATTTTTATATCATGATAGCTAACCTCCTGCTTTAACACAGTGCAAATTTTGTAATTCACAGATTTACATACCTGCATACATTTGAGTAATTCTAAGAAGGCATCAAAACCCTCTAGGAACTTGTGCCTCAAGTCATCTGACCACTCCGTTGGCTTACTTATCAACACATACCTGGGTACATTAGAAAGATAAAAGTGTTAATTTTATATTTTTTTTTCCTCCTCAATTGATCGAATCAGCACATAATTAATATACTTACTTGAGATCCAAAATAAGGCTCTGAACACGCCTGAATTTGAAAGCCTGCAGAGCAGTGTAACGTTCAAACTGAAACCTGCCTTGGATGTCACGGTGTCTTAAGTGGTCCATAAAAGTTTTGATGATAGTGGTCATGAGATTTTCTTCCGTTATTAGCATTCGAGCCTATGCCAAAGTACATTGAAATTTGCTGTAATTAACAGACACAGCTAACAAGAGTTTCATAATGCGCCATGAAGTTCATAAAATACATGAATTTTTATCCAAAATAGCTACAGCAATAATTAAAATAAAAGCATATTGAAAGCCAATCTTCCAGACATTCACAGAAGAAATAAAAAGTAATCCAACCAGAAATTATCACAATCCAGATCTCTCTCCAGAAGTTTGACTACGGTTAGGCTCCTGCTAACCTATATAATTATGACACAAGACGTATGTTATTACGTATTGTATAATTACTTGTACCTCCCTTTAAGTATGTGTTGTCTTCTCTCATATAATTTAAGTATGAGCCCTTTAGGGCAGTAACAGCTTTTCTGCCTTCTGTTTACAAACTGTGAAGCACTGTGGTGAACAGGGCGTCTTCTGAACTGCTAAGGAACTGTAGAGTGAAAGTTCCACATGGAAATTACATGAAATGACTTATGATTCCCCTGAAGGGCTACTGCATATATCCATGTGTTGTAGGAAACAAGTCAACAGGCATCGCGAAGTCTGACGAAGATCATCTTCCACACCCAACCTAACCTAACCCAACCCCACAACAGAGTAGGTGGCACTAAGAAGTTACTGCCATCTCCTACTTGTGAGCTCTTCCAGAACTCCCCCGTTCTGTTGGTTCTCCAAGGTAAATGGGATGAGTCTTGCAGTTTTCGGATCCCCTGAGGATTTTATTATGCGGCTGGTAGATTCAAGAAGACTGGCTACTCTGATCTACCTCAACCACACTGTGGTTGTTGACTAGAGCTTCTGGGTTCTACAGTTGCTAATGATACTCCAAAATACAGTTTCTAAAATGCTACTGCAGGGGAGAAAAAGAAAAGATATCTAATGGTTAACATTTTCCCCCAGAAAATCACCATCAACACAACCACCCACATCCTCCCTCAAACCAAACAACCTCAGTTACTTGAGAGCTCAAACTCTTAAATTACTAAGATCAGTTTGAAAATGTTACTCGAGGGCAGTGGGGTGGTTTTACATTCTTCAACTTATTCATTCAGTTAAGAATGAATCCAAATGGCTCTAAATATACAAAAAAAATTTCTTATTTCACGTGGTAGGAGCTTATCATAATTACTTTCATGTCATGTCTATTCTATACTGCTACAAAACAGTTTATAAATTTTGTTTTAATTTTTTGTAGGCTTTTGAAATATAAAACGTGTAAAAGAGACACTGCAATTACTTTCCCCTAAGGAAATGTTTGAAATCCCTTCTAAAAAACAAAAGTATTAATACACATAATTCCACCACCCCATCTGCCAAAGGAAAAAATAATACCATAACCATTTGAATAATACTAGTTGGTTAAGTCTAACTGTAAATCTGAATACTGGCAACATTCTTATTAACAGCATCAAAATTAAAAGAAGTAACACAATATTGCCCTGAACCATGGAAACAAAATCCTGAGGTCCTGTTGAATTTCCATGAATAACATCCATCCCTAGGAAACTGAAAAACAACTTTGCTCAGCATCATAACTGCCATGCTACTATTGAATTTTAGAGCTCAATTAAGTAGATTAAATTTGGAAGGATTCAGAAGCATTCATTTTTTTTTAAACAATTCTGGCTATGAAAATCAGACTTTTATTTCCAGTACAGCTCTAAAGTCTGTCTAGTTCATAGTGCAAGCAAAGACAGACTAATTTGGAGACTGGAGCAAAAAAAAAGACATTTCCCAAAAAAGAAAAAGCTGCTAAAAGCCCAGCAGATGTCTAGTTCATAGTGCAAGCAAAGACAGACTAATTTGGAGACTGGAGCAAAAAAAAAGACATTTCCCAAACAAGCAAAAGCTGCTGAAAGACCAGCAGAGTTAGTGAGCTGGGAGAAGTAAGTGCCTGAAGCACTGTAATGAAAATTAACTGGAAATGTGAAAGAAGGCATCATCTGAGTCTAGAAGTACCAAAGGAAGTAGGGAATATCATCAGACAGTTCTTGCTTGCCCTTGTGTTGACTGGGAAATTAACATAAAGTGGATCATTTATAAAACTGCACCAGAATGGTATGCTCTGAAACTGTGATATGTAAACCATAATGTAGATTTCTACAAACAGTAACTGTGGCTCAGTATGATGAGGAATTTAAATGTTATGTGTGTGTGCCTAAATAAACATGTAAGTACCTTTCTAAAAAAAGTAAAAGAAAAATGTAAAAGGAAAAACCAAAAATACCCAGCCCACTCAGGGAAGTCAGACTCAAACTTTGCAATGCTGAACACTTTACCTTCTAAACTCACAGCAATGTATGTAAACTGTTTGACTGCTGTGCAGCAGCAGTGCCATGCATTTCCACAGTAATGTTAAAAGAAATCTGCAGTCTTGATTCAAGAACCTCAAGTTGCTTTTAACAAATAAAGATTTCCTTTTTTGGTCTTTTAGTACTTACAAGAGAAGGCACTGTGAATATCTGTATCGAGAGGTCAGCAATTGAGAACTCTCTGTCGTGGTCATCTTTCATAAAATCACTCTGCAATCGCTCATAGTTCTATTAAGAAGGAGGCAAAAAAAGGCAAGGAGTGCCAACTATCAGTTTTTAAAAGAAAGACAGGCACTACTCACCAGAGTAGGTACAGTGAAGAGTTGGACAGACAGAGCAGCCACCGATACTGCCCGCTCGTGATCATCCTCCATATAATCTCTCTGCAACTGCCGGTAATTCTAAACAACAAGGGGAAATTCACCTCTAATCCACACTGACCTGATTTTTTTTATTTAAATGTCTGCTCTGGGAAACTTTAATGCCGTGATAAAGGGAAGAGTAGCTCTTATGGATTATTATATAGATATTTTGTACAAAGAACATGACAACTTAATCTGCTCACACATGAGCTCTGCTCACTCTCATTTTCACAATAAAGGCTAATATTTTATTTTCTACTCAAAAAAGTTATTTGTCTTCAGCAGAGTGAGCAGAATTTTGCAGTGCTGATTTAAAGCATTTCAAATAACTAGTTACTGCAGAAATACTAATCAGCATAACTGAATTTCAGCACTATTTCTGAGTAGTGCTGTAACAGCTTACACCTCAATAATGAGAGGTGATTAGGTCTTAAGAAGCCATAGCCTGCATAGTTGACGGTGAAGACAAAAACATCTGAACTGCTTTAGTTCTGGGGAGCCTGGAAAGCCCATTTTCTTCCCAGGAGATGAGAGGCCATTATAACTAATATTTTGAAGACAGAAATAAGGTAGTCAGCATTTCATTTCAACTTTTCACTTCCAAAAAAAGGAAAAAAATTCTGAATAACAGTTCATTTGAAGCACGGTATACTAACTAAACTCTCTTCGCTAGACAGTTTAAGCATTTAATGGCTCTTTGTAAGAAAGATACTTACTCTTGCAAAGCGGATAGCAAAAAGTTTCTTGTATTTCAAATCCATAAGTAGACTGCTCATGAATAACTGGTGATACACATTTCTAGCTCCTGTCAAGAAAAATGAATGAAATATTGCACGTCACTATTTTCTATCAACATATTATGGAAACATTTAGAAAAGTAAACTTTTACAGAATGAGGTAAGTGTGCATTTCAGAGGAGAAGCTGCTTTGATTAAGTCTGTCAGGTGGCAGCAAAGGACAAAGAAGTATACATAAACCAAAATACTTCAAGTGGCATTATTTATTACTCCTGTGTAAGATAACACTGAGCTGTTGGATGGGAACATAAACCTTCAATATAAGGCAAGTCAGGCAAACAAGAACGGAACTCTGTTCCTCCTCAGGATAAACAGAGGATTTGGATGGCCCAGGGAAAAAAAGAGCATGCTATTATGAGCAGTCTTGGGAACTGCAATAAATTTTGTTAGTTGTGAACAACTCTGCAAAATAATAAGCGTAGCTATCTCTGAATTTCTAGTCTGTCTGAGCAGCATCCCAGAAAATATTATCAATACAAATGAGAATTGACTGTATGTAGCTTGGAAATACATGCATGTATGTACCATTTCTTTCTGTAGGTCACTTTTGAGTCAAAAGCCATTACACTATTTCCTTAATGCAGAGCAACTATGAAATACATGAAAAAATAGAGAAATATTGATGTTGAAATAGAAATGCAAAAGTTACTCCTTGCTAACATGAAAGACATTATCCTAACAAAACCTGTATTAAAAATGTTGTAAAGGTCCACAAAAGTAGTACCCTTCAGATAAAAAAAAACACCACAAAAAAACCTTAAAAAAATCTGAGTGCCAGGAATTAATTCACACAAGACAAAGGTATTAGATAAACAAAACCTAAAAGAATCATTTTCTCCATAGTACGTTCACTTTCCACCTTAATTCTTACTACTTTTATTGCTGCTCCAAGAGGTTCCCAAGACAGACCACAGAGAGATGTTACTACTCTCTAGGATATCTGTACCTCAGAACTGAAGAACAACAAAAGATACTGGGGGGAGGGTAGCAATCTTCAAAATACTATATTCATGTTTAAATAAGGAAAGGACAGATATATTCCATCATTCTCTGCCTTCTCTTTTTGCTTCTCTCTCTTACACCTGGCCTTACATGCCCTTTCAAGGTATCAAATCAACCATAGAATCCATGATGGAAAAGAAATTAACTATCTCCACTTCCTCAAAATACAACTTTCTAGCCAATCCCATTATATCAACCAGGCTTTTAAAATTCTAAGGGCTCTAAAATAGCAGAACAGTAGTTTTCAGTGAATATTCTCAGAACACTTAAGAATACCTCATGAACACAAAAACAAGTCAAAGTAGAAAACCTCTGTCCTATCCCTTAAAAAGAGGCACTTTGGCAGATATGATATAGGATGCTGAGATCCTATAAAGCACACAAACCCCAAATCACTCTACTGTTTACTCAGTTTCCTTCAACTATCACTGTCATCCACGTATTCAAGTCAGCCTTAATTTCAGACTACTTTGAAAAATTAGATCTAACACCAACCCCATCTCCAAATGGTCTCCTTATGATCTTGTCTTCAATACATTTGGAGTGCATCTAGAATCATAGAATGGTTTGGGCTGGAAGGGACCTTAAAGATCATCTGGTTCCAACCCCCCTGCCATGGGCAGAGACGCCTTTCAATAGAACAGGTTGCTCAAGGCCCCATCCAATCTGGCCTTGAACACTTGCAGGGACGGGACAGATTATCACAAATCAGGCAATTCTATCTCTAATACACCACAGTGAAAATGATGGAACATTAGCAGATACGGTAAAGGGAAAACTTATATGCGCAGCATTGTTTAGTATTTTCCAGAAGTTTGAGGAAACTCACCTTTCCACAATTTAGAATCATACAGCATCAACTTATCTACAAGAGAAGAATTTTCACCATCTGGCCCCTCCTGTAAGCCAACTTGACACAATATTCGACGAAGGCCATCTTAATGAATAAAAACGATGTAAGTTAGTTATAGCTTAAACACAAACTTGTACATTATTTTGACACACTGGAATTTTCATAAGACAGTAGAAGCCATAGGGACCTCTTTTCCTTGACAAGTAACACTGCTCATATTTTGCCAATAGAAACACAAATATTTTATACCTTGGAATTTCACACTAACCTTAGGGAACATTAGGAACCTTGTGAAAATTGCCAAACACAATCATTTGTTTCAAAGTTATCAAATAAAAATGTGCTCTCTTAGAAGTGCTGCTGGCTTACTAATATAAGAAATAATTATACAGCAGGCTAATTTTCTAGGTTATATTTTTCCTGTTTACAGTCCTATCAAAAGGAAAATATAATTCATATATGAAATGACTCATATACGCATATGAGTTTTTTGTTTACACTTACTAGCTGCTATTATTTTAAAGCTTCTCCACATATTTTTTTTCCTAATGGAAAGCAGTAATAATTGTTATATGAACATGTAAGTTATTATATGCTTGCAGACAAGCCTGCATCTGCAACAGAACACAACACAGACATGCTCATATTAACAATGTTCAACCTAGTTTTGCATTGCAGGTAATGCATATTCACTAATACAACTACATGACTTAAATGCGTTAAGCCCTTATGTCTGCACACTGCTTAGCCATCACAGCTTCTTAGGCAGAGTTGGCAGTGGCTTAGTGCCACGTATACCATACCATGTGCTGCAAGGTGCAGTTCTATACAGTCTGTGAACCCCTATAGCAGTTGGGGGGGGGGGGGGTTGCCTTGCAGAGTTCAATTCCAACTACTGTTATGAAGGGTAACAAATTAATGGCAACTACTGCGTTGTTTAACAAATGGCAAACTGATGCTTATTCCCGAAGAACTGACATTTGCTAGAAAGGATGTGGTAGTCAAGCTTATGACAAAGTTCCATAGTAAGGTTTTTCCCTTTAGTCGCTGACAAGAGTTTTGACACTCATTTCACAGCAATCATCCAACCTAATTTTGCGGCACAGAAGACCCCTCCACCTGCCAGTCTCCCTTTGGTCAGGGATATTTAGGTGTAACCACCCAAGCAGTGCAATTCTATCACTCCATATTACAGATGAACGGTAACAGGCTGTTTAAAAGATTGAGCAGAATCTAGATGTTTGGGTTTGTTTGTTACAAAGCTAAGGGAAACCAACTTTTTCAAAAGTGCATTTCACAAAACCAGACTCCAGAGTACGTTGCAAGACTGCATCCCAAGGTGTGTAAGGCATTTCAAGTAGTTGAGCACGTAGGTCACAGATAAAACCTATGCATATTGCTTACCATCAAACATTTTTGCCCTTCTGAATCATAAAGGACACTGCATTTAATGAAGTGAACTCTGCAGAATTTCAGAAACACCACACACAAACTATAAATTCAACACTTTCATCTGCAATTTGATGCTCCATTAACATACTGAAGTTACTTTTTTGCAACTGTAATTTAGTGCTGAAAATTAGCGACATCGGTACCTGGCACAAATGATGTGGCACAAAACTGGGCTCAAGGAATATGAGAAAGACAGTGCCTGCCTACATGTTACACTGAAAAGAAAATTTGTCTCAGAAATTAAATATCTTCATGTCTCTCCTTTCATTAATACCTATTATTTGCCAGCAACACTGGCAAGTAGTTGAACAAACTGCCACCATAACTTCTGAAAAGCTTGATTTATGTATCTTTAAAAATTAACTTATACAAACATAAACTACTTATCTTTCAAAAAACTTAACATGAAATACGGATCTTGTGCCTGAAATCTTGGCTAGTTTTTCAACTGTCTAATAAAACATGCAATCTCTGAAGAAATCTTGCACCTACACAGAACATATATGCAGCATTACAGTTGAGAGTGCTTTGCTAATAATTCTTGTTAACATTTACAGATGCATAGAACACAGAAAGTGCATTGGAGACTATATCTACATTTCTACACATCAGCAGTTTGACACATTTTCCTTTTATTTCCCTTCATGCTCCACATCTTCACAACCTTGTGATTCATCAGGACAAAGGAGGAACCAAGCCAAAACAAACACAGAGCCTTCCCATAAAAATGATACTGTGCATCTTGATTCCTTTGAAGAAACTTCTTTCTAAATATCTGATTAATACTTTGTTGGCTTCTATACTTACCCAAAAACCTCCACACATCCTTGCATTTTCTCAGTTCTACTTAGCAAAAAATCTGAAGCAATCACTTTCATCATCATTCATCAAATTACTTCTGAATAATTTTGTTTTATCAGACAGGTTATTTTCAGCTTACTGCATTCATTTAAAAAGAACCAGGGACTGAAAAATATAGCTTGTTGGCATACAGCATTTGACAGTGATTCTCAGCTTCTATTCAATAGCAGCTCAAAAGAAAACAGTATCCAAGAAGACTAAGTAAGACTGTTAGCACTTTCATATGGAAGTTAGAACTCAGAACAGCACTCCAATAAGAAAAAACAGAATGAAGTCTGACAAGTTATTAACAGCTTTGCCTTATATATTACATATCTGAAATAAGTAGACAATATTGCTTCAGGAATTCAGCTTGCCTCACAAATATTCTCTAACTTATCCCAAAAAAGTTCAAGTTTGCCCACCTGAATATCCAATAACACTGCCAAGCCAAGTTAGGAGCTTCAGACCAAAGCTCTGATGGGCAACAATAGATGAATGCATAACTTGTACTTTCAATGGCTTTGTCTGACGACTGGTATTTCTCTTAAAAAGAAAAGGAAAAAGGAGGTAATGCATATTCAAGTGAGGACTAGCATATATTTCTGTACAGAAACACAACATTCCTGTGATTAACTTCAATAGTTTATAATATTAATACATATTCTAACACCTACATAGGGAAGGAAAAAAAACCCAAAAAAGACTGAACTTTGTTTACCCTGTTAATATTTGAAGGACCTTATTATGCAATATCAACATATTTAGGCCAATCCATTTTCCACTCGTGGCCTCTTACCAACGTACACACCAATCTGCTGCATTTTACTAATAAGCAGTTCCACGCACAACCTAAGAAAGCCACGCACATTTGTTCCTCACAATGTGACATCTAAGTCACACAGCAACCCACCAAGGAAAGAAACTGTCCACAGACTATTTTCAATAATACAAATTGAACACACAGAGTTAACACAAGAAAGAAAGTATTTCTCCTTATCTCTGTGTTAATAACCTTAATAGTTAGACATTACACATAAAAGCCATTTGTTCTTTGACTGCATAGGTAGCAAGTTAAAAACATTGTACAACTTTATCTTTAAAGATACATTAATGTTTTCAAAATACCCTAAATAGTTTAAGGCCAGTAACTCTAGTTACAGTATTTGTTTTTCAGTGGTAGCAGTATTATACATAAACTATTTATTTCCTGTGATTAAGTACTGCACTGCAGCAGTTAAAGAAAAATTAAATAGAAAATATTATTCTCATGTTCTAACATGGAAGAACCCTGTAATATATAGATATTATGACTATATATACACACACACATATAAACACACACACACTAAATGAAAGTTATTTGTAGTTTCACACTTGGATTCAACCACTAACAATTTCCATAGCTGTGGCTGTGAAAGGGGCAAACAACTTCATACTACAGGAGAAAAACTAAAATAGTTTAGCTTCACTGATCTGAACTGACATGCAATTCTAAAAGATTAGATCTGAAGTTCCGGATCAAACTCTGCTTTCTGAATGGAAAAGTTGTCTGGGAACTTCTTTTTAGCAAATGATTTTGGGTGCAAGGTACACCATTGTAGAAAAAACAAACAAACAAAACCAGAGCATAAACCTGTATTTTGATACTTCTACTGTGCGTATTGTAAATAGTATCTCCAACACTTTGTATTATTGAAGATTCTTTACAGTAACAATATCCCAAAACTATGTAGCAAAGCCTCTTTTTGCTTAAGATGAGGCAAATAACTACATAATATTACTTACCACTATTACTGATTTTGCTTGATCGCAGTACTGGAAGTCTCCATATCGAACAGACCTACGTCCCTTTAAATTTGTAAAGAAGTAACATTACCACCAGCTTCTAAACAAGAACTTCAAATGCTGTGTTTTACATTAGTATAAAAGCTACAGTAAAAGTTTCAGACGCACGTTAACTACTCTTGCTTTCATGCTATTTTCATTGTTTTAAATGACTGCATATAGTTACATACTTGAATTCCCAAAATGCACCCTGAACTTTTTAAAAGAAAATAAAATTATACCATATATGCAGTTACCCATTACACTAAACTTTCTGTGTATAATATTGTTTTTAAGATGTAATCATCACACTTCTTTTATTTAAAATACCAAAACGTTATCTTTCATACTAATGCATCAATCATTAGTTTCACACATTTCAATGCCTTTTAAAAAGTAGATATGAAAGCTAATTGGTCTTAAACATACAACTAAAGCACTTGGTTTATTTCAAACCTGGAAGGTTTCCATACTATATGAGTCTTCTATACTGTCAATACATACATTAAAATAGATAGTTATTCAATTTATAGTGTATTATAGACAGAATAGCTTACTGAGATTTTAGATCTGGTCTGATGCCAGATCAGTGTTTCAGGCATAACCTTCTCATTTCTTTTACATACATACACACGTGCACATGTATATATGCGTTCATGTGTCTGTCTAGAAGTAAGACAGGGATCCACAGTAGGGAAAAATCTCCAAAGTGCATCCTATAATACACAGCATGTGCTCAGGTCAGCACACATTCAGGGATCAGACAGGAATCTTTTGGTTACTGATATCACAAAAATAGAGTAGTAATAGTAGAAAACCAAAATCTAGCTCAGTATTAAGCAATATGTTCAGTATTAAGTAAAATAAAGTGGTTATATTTCCTTTTCCACTGACTTTCTTGAAGTACTTTAACAACCCAAAACAACACTTTCATTGTCATTTTGGAAGAGACTTTCCCCACGATGCCAGCCCCCCCCAGAAAAGGCTGCCCAGGGAAGCGGTTGAGTCCCCATCCCTGGAGGGATTTAAAAGATGCATACATGTGGTGCTTAGGGAGATGGTTTAGTGGTGGACTTGGCAGTGTTAGGTTTACGGCAGGACTCGATGACCTCAAAGGTCTTTTCCAACCTAAACGATTCTATGAAAACAACATAAAAGGACACTCACTTCCACAGCAACTGCTTACAGGCTCCTGGCACAAATAACAAGATGCAGTTGTCCCTAGAAAGTTTCCCTTTCTAAAAAAATGCACACAAGCCAGAACACAAACACAGCTGGCAGAATGCTTCTGAGACCAACATACTAGTTAAAATTATAGTCAGCATATAGTAATTCTGAACTCATTGTTCTATCTAAATGCTGTATGAAATGTTTTACCTCTTCCTGCCATTATCATCTGACAATTATGAAAAAGAAAATTAAATTTAAAAAAACCCACAAACAGTTCCACGAGCACCGGAACAAAAGCAGCCAATTACAGATTTTATCCCTCACAGTTGACTGGTGTTACTCGGAGAAGCATTTCCCATGCTTGGAGCACTTTCAGTGGGGCTCTTTCAGTGTCAGCTCCCTGGTGTACAGTAAGGGATGAGCTAAAGCCGCTGCCTGCCCTTGACAGAGGAGTGGGAGACATCCTGGTATCTACACATTCTACTGGAATACAGTTACACTGAAACATATATTCAATATTAGGTCTGGTTTGGATTGGCCAATGAGTTAAGTCATTTTAGGGTGGCCTGTCACACAGGGCTCAATCACATTAACCACACTCTTTGGGAAAACAAACTAAGTAAGTGTAGTCATATAAAATAAACATTAGGGTAAGTATAATTAAAGTTCTAGCAATTAATTTACTTACATCTCTATCTACTGTTGTTGCAAAACCAATAGCTTCCTTCTGCGTGCAGTTGACAGCCTTCTGAAGAGTATAAATGACTTGTTCATAGGTATGGACTTCATCATTAAACAGCATGCAGTAGTAAGTGTCACTCTTCTCACTTCAAAGCAAGGATTGAATTTATATAATTCAAAGTAATGTAATTACGTAATTTAAAAAAAAAAAAAAAACAACTTCTGATTTAATAAAGTTTTCCACCAAGCCGACAAACCAAGCCTGGGCTTCTTCTCCTATACTGGAACATACCTCAACAATTTATTTGAAAAGGACTGACCACCCCTAACTTCTATAGGAACATGCATCCTTCCTGCAGAATTAAGTCCAAAATGAACAAAATTTTAAGACAATACTTAAGTCTGAGTATTGTTTTTGAACATTTGTTGATTATGAATTTATAGTTTCCTACTAAGGAAAATACATTTCCTTCCATTGCAGCTGTGTTCAATACATTCCCCCATAGCTTCTTAGAGATTTCACCGGTCCTGGCATTATTTTGCCACACCTGTTTCCCCAACACTGCATAAAGGTTTATTAGACAACAAAAACTTGGCAGTCTCTTAAAAAGCCCAAACTCCACAATCCTCAAAACCACAACTTACTAAGCTTACATAGATTCAGTGCAATCTTTTGATTCCCATCATTTATTTACACAGCATTCTTACTCGCACAACACGAAGTAAAAGAAGTTACTAACAAGATGTCACAAATGAATCCATGATAACTATGATGCTACAATACACTTAAATATTCTGTAATGCTTCAAAATTTGTAATAAGTGCATGACCAAAAGTACAAAATACTTTTGCCATCAGAATTTCAGTAACTTTGATCATCAGAAATTAACCCGCCACTTGTTTTAGGGTATTGTCTTTTGCTAATACTTCCTTTTCAATATTAAGAAAATGAACATATCACAAAGACATTGTTTCATCATCGCTTTGAAGAGAAATGGGCTGTATAATCACAGAAGTAAAAAATATGAGAAAAACAAATATAAAAATTATTTTAGTCCATTGTCTACAAAACATCCAAAAATTATTTTAGTCCATTGTCTACAAAACATCCAAAAATTATTTTAGTCCATTGTCTACAAAACAATTTTAGGAAAGGCAGAAAACATACTTAAAATCAGAATTTGCATTTTCAGTTGTAAATATCTGCAAACCTTTAAAAGGCAGAAGACAAATACTATACTTACATCATTTCCAGGCCAGGCAATTCATTTTCCTTTTCCCATGTTAATATATCTACTGCATATTTAAATGTGATGGCAAAAATATTGTAAGCTCTTGCTACCATATCTTCTGGTAACTGCACAAGAGGATCCTGAAAAATAAATATAAATAGCAATTGAGAAATTAAATGACATTCAAAACAGAAATTGTCAAATTTGCACCTCTCTTTGTCAAAGATTATGTAAGCATCTTTAATGATGTCTTTCCCAAATGACTTTACATTTGAAAGGAATACAGTCAATCATCCTGTTTTCTTTTTCCAGTTCTTCACTAACAATCACCAAAGCAATAATCTAAAATTCAATACCTAAATGTTAACTTGCCTCTGATCACCCACTTAATTTTTCACACAAGTCTCCATTTTCACTTTCATTGTTCCCACTTCTGCACACCTTCTAAGATAGTTCTTCTGAAGAAGAACTCATTTAATACAGCCTCAGCTGTATTAAAATCTGCTTTTTCCTCAATGCCTTCAAAAACATAATTTGAAACCACTGTATCTTTTGTTCCACTTACCAATATTAGTAAACTGCAGAATACAAACAACTATGCATCTATTGCCTTGTTTTATACATAGCACACATTTAGAGACAGAAGTCTTTTCTATCCAAGCTATGTATACTACATCCAGCACAGTGGGATCATGATTTATGACGCACGTCTCTTACATGCTGTGGCATATAAATAATTAAATGCTTAAACGCAACTAGGTATTTCATAATGATCTGCCCATATCTCAGTCTTGTTCAGACAGCTGTTCCCTTTTTCTGCATGGGCCATGCACCCACTTGTGCCCACTCTGCACTCTCCAGGGTGCCCTCCATTTGACATCTGCAGCAGCCACTATAACTCATCCTCTTCTCTCTGCCAGAGCAGAATGGCTGCTGCTGCAGGCGGTGGAACTGAAATGAGCAGGGGAAGGAAGAGGAGTGCTGCCTCAGTCTGCAAAGTCAAAGGGACTACTTTTTGAGCAGCAAAGGAGGACCACTGCCAACTCTGAATCAGGTAGTACAGGTACCACTGCCATTTCCTTCCAATCCATTTCAAGGGATCTGCATGTGAATAGAAAACATTGAAAACCTCTTCTCCAAAAGGATTCTTCTTCTACTATTTCAAGTTTTTGATGTTCGGAACAACTGGTCCCTCTTCTACAAAGCTGGAAAGGGAACATTGCATTCCCTGCAGGTCACCTGCACATGTACTATTCATTGGGTCACTGACTCAATTAATCATTTGATATTTTGAAGTATGTGTAATTGTTCGCCAATTAAAAATTTAACAGTAGCCCAATTTCTGTTTTAGGATTACCTAATATCAAATTCTGTGTTTCACTACAGTTTATGCCGTATAAAAATGGCCACAATAATCTTTTCAGAACTTAAGTCTGCATTATCTGCAGGAGGCCCTTGACAGTGAGCAATTGACCTGTACGACTAAAGTTTACTCACCCACCCACCCCAGTATTCTTTTGGAATATTTGGAAGCTTTACAGGAGCATTAATAACTGCCATTTCTCTTTTTTTGCTTCATTTAAAACTTACCTAGCGTATGGAGAACTACCAGTCACCAAAAGCAAAGGCAAATCTCAAGCAGCAACGCTGCCTCCATTCCCAGCACTTTCAACAAAGACACATATGTGAGCAAGGCAGAAAACAGACTCCTATAATGCTCAACAAATGATCCTTGATCTACCTCGAACACAACATTGCATAACATAAGAGATCTCAAACCCCATCACTCACAGGGAAGAAACACAAAGCCTGCCCAGCACCTTAATTCTTCTATCACTCACACTCGCTGTGTGAGTATCTTTGGACACAGAAGTAGCAATCCACCCAAGATTTCAGAACAACAGTTTTCTAAGGCTGCCCACTAATGTAAACTGGCATGTAGATCAAGTGGTGAGTCCATGCAGCAGTGCTAGAGTCTCAGGGTTGCATTAGTGGTAACAGATTTTAGAAGGACTGCTGTCACTGCAAATACAGTTGCAGTTGCTTCACTTAAACCATCAGATCAGCAAAATTACTACAAAAATTTGCCTTATATTTTCCCTTCAAAAAAATCTCACAGAGATTATATTACATAAGAACAGATGCGAGTGGCTAGACCAGAAGTCCAACTAGTCACTCTCATTCCTGAGATCTAATAACAGATACTAAGGGGAGAGCATAAGAAAAGGGCAGAATGCTCCTTTGGTCTCCAATAACTTAAGACACTAATATTTTACCACACCAAAGATGGTATCCGCAATTTTTAAATGGCCATTGATCATTTTTTCACTCCACAAACATGTTAAATTTCCTTTTGAACGCATATAAACTTTTAATAACAATGGTGTTTTCTAACAGTTAGTCCAACAGCTTGAATTCATACTGTAAGAAGTAGCATGTCTTTTTGCATTTAATATGTCCAAGTAGTTACGCTATGAGAAATAGTGAAGACATGTTCTCTATTTACCTTCTCCATACCAAACAAGCTTTTATAGACCTCTATCTTATACCTCTATTATGGTTGTCCTGTAACAGCAAGTTATTTTGATTTAAAAAATCTGTGCACTTTACTTCGGTAAGAATCAGAACATATGTTGCACAGACAGCTTAATTTGGCTTCTTCATGCACATGATTACAGACAGATTTTTTTTCACGTGGTAGACTCCCTTCACCTTTCAGAATAAGATGGAAAAACAAAGAAACAGAACTAAAGCTGCAGAGGCGACCAAGAACATATAAAGTAAAGCCTTCAAGGAGAAAATGTCATTCTAAATAACTCCTTAAGTTAGACAAGACATTAATTTTATTTAACACAGTGTGGTTCAAATATTACTATTAAATTTCCTCCCGTTTCTCATGCATGGTATACAAGACTAAAAATAACAATTGAGGTATCATGTTTCAAAACATTGTTAACTGTGTATATATGTATCTTATTCATATGAGGTTATTACCTCTTCTTCTGCAGTCTCTGAAGTGTTAAGTTCATGCTTTTGACAGTAAGGACCTTCTTTCCAAGCTTCTGTATCACCACAGTCACAGAAACCTCCACCACCTGATGTTGTCATCTAAAATTATTTAAAAACAAAACAGTTCATGTGAATATGCATATACACACATGCACATGAAGAAATGAGTAGCTGAAGAAATAGCTGAACTACAAAAGCTGAACTACAAAAGCATTGTCACAACACCTGATAGCTTTAGCCAGTACTCTTAAAAAAGCACAGTGAAACCATGCCTGTTTCCATGATGGCTGAAAGCTTATCTACTTCATCAGTCTGCCTATGCCAAAATAAAATAAAATAAAGAAACAAAAACAAACAACAAAAAACCCCAACAAAAGCTTCAATCACCCCCATTCTGCCCCACCTGAAGGCTGTGGGTTTTTTCTAGTTTTCAGTTTTTCAGAATCTATTACTTGCAATGCCATCTGTACTATTTCAGATTCTCACCTTTTTAATCTGAACAAAGCTAAATCATTTCATACAGCACTATTACACAGTGAGTAAAAGACATGCTGTTTACAGAAAAAAAAACTTACAAATTTTCCACATAAGTCTTAGTAAGCATAGAAAAAAGTATCTGAAAACTGTAATGATATATTTACACTGTTTTAATAAAATGAATTTTAAAGCTAACATCACCTCAAATAGTAAGTGTAATAATACTCTTTTTGAACCACAACTATTAACTGATTCATAGAAAAATTCTTCTTTCACCTATTTTTGGCACACAGCTACATTCTGTACATACAGATACATCCTACAGAATCAACCAAATTAGATGGACATTTGAAACAACAGTTGCTTACACTTTTGGATGTCACCTAGCCTTGTTAATTCACTAAGTTTGCAAACTAAAAGCCTACATACAAGAAGTATGCTGATATCAGCAAATCAGATTGGGTTTCTTGGGGCAAGTTGTTGTGTTTGGGTTTTTTTTTTCCTAAATCTTAGTGCTCAGTGTAACCATGCAGTGATTGGATTTATATTAACATAAGTGCAGTATTGTCAAAAACAGATTTACAGAAAGGCTGCACTGGTAGTTTTCACTTAGCTTCTTAGTTTAAAAACACACCAAGGTGTTCTTGGGTTTGCTTGTAGGTTTTTTTGAACTAATCTGTACTACTAAGAGCAGTAGATTACTAAAATAAACAGCATCTACAGTTTTAGTTTGCTATTTTAACTTTAGGTTTAAAAAACGAACAAAAGTCCTCCTATTGTACAGAATTTGTTAACAATTCAGATGTTTAAAGGAAATAAGTTTTAAATAGAAGTGGTTTCTTAATAAAGGTTTTTCATTACCTTTTAAAAATAGTCAAACATCAATGTCAAAGCAAGCCAAAAAACAACTCTAATGCTGTAAAATTCACTAAAGGATACATGTTAAAAATAATACACTTTTGTGAACTTAACTGTTGTGCATAAAATTTAATTGCTCAATATTTTAAAGCGTTAACTTTCAGAACTTACACTCAGATCAAAACATTCAAGTTCTTGTAAGATTATTGCAGGTGTAATTCCAAACTTTGTGTTCATCCAACATTTTGAAATTATGTATACATTCTTAAAACGTTAAACAAGGAGTTTCATACACATACAAAATTATTAATGACTACATCATGTATTCCAGCAATATTACTAACCCTGTATCGGTGCTCTCTATGAATACTTCCAAGAAAGCACTCCATGCATAACACACAAGTTGGGTCAACTGCACAGTCTCTGAAAACAGCAAAAAAAACAGGGGCAAGGGGAGGAAGGGAAGGCGGCATTAATCAAATGTTTTTGCCTTTAACTACACATTTTACAACAGGTAATTTTCAAATATCACCAATATGAACCTTCTGACTAATATATATATATATATATTCTGAAAGAGGAAAGGAATGGCTTCCAAGGAGGGGGAAACAAATGAAGGAGGAAAAAAAAAAACAAAAACCACCTGTTCTCATAACAGAAGAGGCTTTAAAATATTGTCTGGGTAGCATGTGGATTTCGGCAATATAGCCATTGCCTTCAAGAGGTGAGACAAGTACATAAGCAAGTAAACAGATGAATAACAGAACACAGTACAGACAGGTAAACAGTATAAACCCAAGCAAGTTCTCTCAAGTACACAGTACAAGCATTAACAATCTCCAGCAATCAGAGAAGACATTTTTTCACTGAACGCTGGAAAGAAAGATAGCACGCAACAGATTAGATCAAACCTCTGCTTCTAAGTTTAGCCCTACAAGCTCACTGAAGAGGTCTGAGAACACAATTTCCTCAACCAAAAGATCCGAGACCATAGTAAGGTCCTGTCTACAAGCACTGCTATATTAGAAGTAATGTTTCTAGCAAAAGGGGCTAAACGAATGAGACAATTATGCATTACATGTAAGTGTCTCCCTGAGAAACACTGAAAATGCATGAACCTATGTAATGCAACTGACTTCAAGGCACCTCAAGATTAAGGGAGGCAAGTTTTGCAATGTAAAAATAACTACCAAGAGAATTAATGTCTTATCGTGGTTATTATTAAAATAAGAATTCAGAGAAACAACTTATTTTGTTCAAAAGAAAACACCAGAGATCCTATGAAATGTTATTATCAAGAATTCTCTTAATTTCATTTCACCAAATAAATTAAACCAGGTAATCACTGAAAGATAATCAGGCAACCATGACTTACTATGCATAAAGTATCATTTTTGCATTAGTTTTCTCCAGAGGAGCCACTAAAGGTGAAAATGTCAAAGAAAAATTACACGAAGCTCTTCTGTTTTAGAATAATTTATGTTCATGGCTTTTTTTTTTTAATTTAAAAAAATCAAAACCACTTATTGAAACAATATGCCTTCAGTATTGTGTAGATTAGTTGTACAATATTGGGTATCGATTCTTCAGAGCCCTAAACTTGTGGCAATATACTCAGAAACTCAGAAACATTTGCCAAGTAATTTCTCGAACAAATAAGGGTGCTTACACCCAAAGCAGAGGCAGATCTGTAAGCTCCACAATTGGACAGAAAAGCCACAGCTTTTAATGTATTTCATAGACCCAGAAAACAATTCTTCTCTGTATCCCACAAAAGTTTAAATTAAACTGTTCTTCATTACCAAAGAAAATTAGTAAAAGAAAATTATGAACACACAACAGGAAACATTAACAGTTTTACATCTATGTTCAGTACTTAATCAAAAGAAGATGAGACTTCATCTTGATAGCAGCAACAGCAAAAACATTCTGTATTCACTGCTGACCCTGACTTGAGCAGAAGATCGGACAAGATGGCCTACCAAGACATCCTTTCTAACCTGAATGATATTATGATTACATTGCTGTATTTAAATCATTTCTCTACTGAAACAAAGACCCTGAGTATGAACAGTACACTCACTCATTCTCTAAATCCTACACCAATGGACTGCATTATTTTATGTTTCCATCATACTTGACAGTATTCTCAAGGATATACTTACATATTGAGTTGCTAGTCTCAAAAAATCAAGTGTTTAGCAGAAATTAACAAAACTCCCACAGTTTTTATTAGTCCATATGAAGAGTATTTGATCATTAACATATTACTTCTAGGCTGCAATGCAATTTGACTTGAATTAAAATACTAGTTCTGAGGTTTGGTTTTATAGCTCTTTGGGACCGGATTTCATGAAAAGGTACTAAAGAAACTGTGGAAATTCTTTTTCTAGCCTCTGATAGTCCTCAGCCTCCCACATTCTAATTCTCTACCCAGATCTCTCCACTTTTTCACAAGTGTGAAGGAAGAACCTAAGAACACCTGAGAGGAGATGGAGTTCTCTTAGTGGCTGAAAGGATCTAAAGTACCTACCAGTTTAATCTCATCCATCTCAAGATAAGAGGTCTCAAAATATTTCCAGAACTGCCTATTCTAACTGATTGTTGAAACAGAAATGCAGAAGAGGCAGCTTGCTGAGTTAAGTATCTCAAGTCCACCCTGAATCAGAACTTCAGCGAATAAGACCAATAAGGCATCAAGTTTCTAGAAAAGGAGAGCACTAGAGAGTAAAATTCCTCTACAGTCATTCTCTCCTTGTAAATGAAGGGGGTGGAAACCCAGAAAAATAAATCCTCCAAATGAGACAGACATTACCTCCCTCTGTCACCCCATCAAGTGGGAGGTACGCCTGTTTTAGCATCCAATAGATTGGTTTAACAGGTCATGGAAAGAGGTCTTAAAATACGGGATCAGCAGCTGATATTAAACACCTGAATTACATGCACATACACCTGCCCATTTACTTCTGATTAATGCCCTTAAATCATACTGACAGTTCACCCCAACCACTTTCTTAATCTTGCATTTCTTTTGTACAGAAAACACTCTACATTATACTGATTAATATTTTTCCATTTCCAAACCTGTAGCGTGTTAATTTTCCCCTAGTCCCACCTCTCATGAAACACTGCAATGTTACTTTAAAAATAAATTTGGGGTATTAACTTTTCATTAGGACAGTACATTCTTATTGAAAAATGTTCCATGACTTCACAAATTATAAATACTTCACAATGCTAAGTTGAACTACCTGCAAGAATACGTAGGCTCTCCCACTTTAAAAACACGGCCACAAAGATGGGAAGGTTTGTTCGCTTGCTCAAGCTTTGGAAAACCAAATGCAGGATCTTCACCACAAAGATACCATTCCATTGGTCCCAGCAAAACGTGTTGTGCCAGCATGTCTTCTCTTTGTGGGGCAGGGTTAGGACCCCTGCAGTAAATTTTTGGTACATAATAGGCCAGATGCTGGTATACTTCTTTCTGAAGGTCATTTGCTTGCAGCCATTTCTTTCAAATTAAAAGGAAAGAGAACACAAATCGTTCATTAATAAAAATACCAAACATAGTTCTATCCATCAGGGTGACTTTTTTTATTTCTAAATCAAAAATCTAAAATGGCATTGAAAAACTAGCAAGCCATGCTTCCTTCTAAGTGTTAAATCTAGATGATCACAGAAGACAGACGTTAGGAAAGGAATAATTTGTTTCCCTGCTTGCACTTTTTATCCTTTTGACATACAAAATTCTTTTAAAAAACACAAGATTTAAGAGACCAAATTCTTAAAAATTTTCCTCTGGGATGCATGACCAGTAAAACATCCCAACATTAGCAGTAATTTTTAGGATAAGGCCCAAACTGTGCTGGTTGCATTTCTTTGGAGTGCAGACTGATGCTGCCAGCTGGGGACACAGAGCAGCAGTGGAAGCCTGGAGTTGGCAAGGAACAGGCAAAGACAAAAAGTACAAGGAGAATGGTAAGCGCAGCATTAGGTAACAGTCCCTCTCATTTAATTTCAACAAATGACCTACAAAAATGAGGGGGTTTTGGTTTCTCCTACCACCGAAATAACTTATCTGACAAGTGTGATGTTAGATCCATGAATTCTCTTAGTCAATCAATTGTAAAAAACAATGTTGACAGAGTTTTTAAAAGCCATCAAACTACCGTACCTGCTACAAGCCACTGAAAAACTCACAGCTCTTTCTAGTTTTTTTTTTTCCCCCTGCATAGACACACAGAATAAAAAAATCCCCTAGGACAGCATTTGTTTTATTTCTGCCTTGTGGATTACAATTTTATAAAGGTTTAAACTGTAAATTAAGGCTGCAATGTTTTTATAATAAACAAATACGAGCAAGCACATACTGCAAGTGTGCACTGATTAAATCCTGTGTTACATAAACAGCCTTCGTATGCCATTTCTCATTGTAAATACGACAACCAGATACCCCCTGGCAACTTCAGCAAAAGAATTCAGAATCAACCTAGAACTGTACATTGAAACCAAGAATTAATTATACCAAAATAAATGGGTTTGGTAAGCAAATGTTACAGTTTGATTTACTCTGAATTATTTATGACTTACTCCTAAGAACTTATGTTTGAGACAACACAGTTGTACTAAGTTCTTCAGGATACAGACACGCAGAATCAGCAGACCACTTCTGCCATTTAAGAATGGCTGCATTTTTGCTTTTCTTTTCTTCTTTAATTTGTTCTAGTATTTTTATTTACTAGACTATGTTTTCTAAAGCAGAACTTCATATTAAAAAAAAAACCTTATTTGTCAGTACAGCTCTTAATAGAATAATATGCATTCCTCACTTCTCTTTCCTTCAGTTTGACTTCTTAAAATCATAATCAATCTACTAACTCTTTCTGTATTGATCTAGCTTTGGTGGTCAAAGCCCAGATTTTTTTCCAAGGAAGTCCATGGAAAAATGTTGCCAAAAAGCCGTATGCAACAATTTAGAAGTTTACAGATAACCTCACCGTTCCCACCAGGATTCAGAGAATACCACACAAAAATGAAAAAAAGTAAAGTGTTCATTACTAAGAATTTGATCTGTTTTGTTTTTTTTTTTTTCCTAGCTCATTAGTCTTTTCCTCTCCTTTCATCATTTGTGCCAAATATCTACTACCGCCAGGAACTGACCCAATCACAGTGAAACTGACTTAGTCTCTTGCATGATTTGCATTTAATAAGATCATTTTTAGATTATTTTCCAGGGCATATATTAGTTGTTACGCTTGCATTTTTCTCAGCAAAATACCCTTAATTTCAGCCTTTTAATTCAGCAGTACATTACTAATTTCTATCTAGAAAATACACAGTGCATATTAGCTACACTACAAGCTCAGACAAATACCTAGCCAGAGAAAATTCTTGTTCCTCGAGTAAATGGCTTTCCCATCCCAAAAACTCTGGGAGCAGTTGCCTGAAAGTTAGGTGTGGCAACACTGAATGTCATCACACCTAAATCTCTTTGTGGAGCCAGTTCTATATGTGTAACTGTGCATACAGTTTTAAAAATCAGATCCCGGCTAAAAGAATATCAGAAGGAAGTACAGGCTACTAGGACAAGGAAACAGATGTCACTCCAAGGGCCACTAGGAAGGCAACTCAAAATACTGCTGTGCATGTAAAATTGTTACTAGAAATATATACATATGCATACATATGTTGCGGTACCTTTCTAAATCGCTACCTAGGAGGCACCGATCTCCAGTAAAACTACTCCAAACTTGGGGATTTAACAAAAAAATTATTTGGTCCTTTAACAAAAATATTTTGTATTTAGGCAAGTTTCCAGTTAGTATTTGCCTGTCTTCTATCCTGAAGTCACACGTAAGAAAACCTAATGTTCTACTCTCCCAAGAGACGTTTTTTATTAAAAGAGAGAAGTATATTCCTCTTCACTTCTCCCTCCCTCGGACTTACTCTCCTGCAGTAATTTTTGACTGCCTTGGGGAAAAAAAACAAAAAAAACCCAAAAACCAAACAACAAAACAACCCAAAAGCACTGATCAAATAACATTTTATGTAAGTAAATACCTAATGGTCCATCAGGGTTTCTATTAAATCCACATCTAAGTAAGAGACACTAGATGAACAAAACATGTAATACAAATAAGCCACAAACCAACTCCGTTTACTGTTTCAAAAGCTAAAAGATACAATTTATGTTTTTCTTAGCTATACAAACAAATATTTGCAATGTAAGCTCATGTTCTGTTACAGAGAATTTATTATTTTGATTGTTGTTCTTTGGAAGTTGTTGCAATGAGAAACTGAAGTGTGAAGTGCTGCAACTATTGCTTTGGGCTGGCATTTATTTTGTTAATACTGGGCTATCAGCAAAGTAATGCTATCAGCAAAGGATGGAGAAAAACAATGTGAAAACCCAAGTACGTTGTTTGCTCATACAATCAGGCAGTGCCAGCAGCATTTAGCTGCTAGCATGTTGCAGATTTGAGAGTGATAGGTCTCAGAATTGTAGCTTGTGCTGGTGATCACGGAGAATAAAAACGAAAAAGAACTAAGTTTAAGCTGGCACCTGTATCTATAGCAAATTCCTAAACGCGCTCCACTTGGTGCACCGTTGCCTTTGGTTTAACTACAGTGTGGCTCAAAAAAAGCATCTGCTACCCACATAAACAAGGTAGTTTGGGCTCGGTATGGGCTACTATATGAAGTGTTTGTTGGAATTATTGGGTTTTCTGTTGAGGGGAAGGAAGACTAATCCTGGAGCTAAACCAGCTAGGATATAGCTAACTATGCATGTTTGCCCATCTAATCATACCTTTGTCTGCACTGTAGATACACCACCATAATCTGAGGATAATCTGAATTATAACACTGTCTTTTACTTGCTTTTGGAAAGCAGCCAACGTAATTCTCATTGCCATACACACAGGCAGCTCTTTGAGGTCTTGTCCTACAGCCATGCACATCAGCAGTCCCAATATTTTAACATATATATCCAGTTCCTCAAATGCACGAGTGCCTATAAGATCTGGCACCTACGCCAGAAACGAAAGTTTCTCTGAAAACTTTACCGTCGAGGCTTCACTCCTCTTCCCTTTCAACTACTCTCCATAAAAGCAGGGAAAGTGTATAAACAAGGGTGGATTACTTGAAATATTACACTGATTTTTACTAATGTTTCCTCTACGAGCGCCCCATTCTAATAGCCCGAAGTTTAACTACTGCAAGCTTTTGCCAGAACCGCATCTTCAATACTGGGGTGGAGGGGAAGAATCCCGTAACGAACCTTGAAGGCTACAAAGCATGTACGGGGCCAGACATCCACCTCCCCTAATGAGGGGAGGGGGATCTTCTCACTTCGAGGCGTGAGTGCCGGTGGAGAGATGCGAAAAGGCAGCAAACTAGGCAGGAGAACTAAACTTCTCAGCCGCTTGGAGAAGGCGAGGAGGCCGCAGGTGAAGGAGGGAGACACGGAGCAGCGG